CCCAAGATCAAGGTGTTGGCAGGTTTGATTCTCCTGAGATCGTTGGCTTGCAGATGACTATATCCTGCTGTGCATTCACGTGACCTTTCCTCTGTGTACAGACATCCCTGGTGCCTCCACTTTTTTATGAGGATACGAGTCATGTCAGATTCGGACCTCACCATACGCTCCCCTTTAGCCTTAATTACCCCTTTAAAGAATCTATCTCCAAATTCAGCCACACTAGGGCTGCAACATATGAATTTAAGGAGGACCCCATTCATTCCCTAACATCATACATATTTGTCTTTCCATGCCTAGCTTATTTCATTTAGCATAATGTTGTCACTTAGCATAAGTTCCGTATGTTATTCTATATGTCTGAATTCACTTCCTTGTCAAGGCTGAATATATCCCATTATATGTATATGCCACATTTTGCTTGTCCATTCATTGGTCAACGGATAATTCATTTGCTTCTCCCCGTGGGCGACTGTGAATAATGTTGCTATGAACATGGGTATGTGAATATCTTCAAAATCCTGTCTCTGATTCTTTTGGGTATAATTGCTAGATCATTCTATGTTTAATTATTTGAGGAACCACCATATTGTTTTCTGCAGCAGCTACACCATTTTATATTTCCAACCGTGCACAAGGGTTCTAGTTTCTCCACATCCTTATCAACATTTGTTATTTCTGAATTTTTTGATAATAGTTATCCTAACGCATGTGAGATAGCTCACTATGGTTCTGATTTGCACTATTTCTAATGATTAGTGATGTTGAACATCTTTTCCTGGTCTTTTGTATATACCTTCTTTATAAAAGTATCTATTCAAACCCTTTGCCCATTTTTGAATTGGGTTATTTTTCCATAGTTGAGTTGGAGGAGTTCTTTTTATATTCTGGACATTAACTCCTTAGGAGATATATAAATCATATTTTTTTTCATCCCATTCTGCAGGCTGCCTTTTCATTCCGTTGCTAGGTTCTTTGATGCACAGAAGTTTTTCCATTTTAATTTAGTCCAATATATCTACTTTTACTTTTGATGCTTTTAGTGTTATAATCAAGAAACCATCACCAAATCCAATATCACAAAGTTTATCCCTTATGTTTTTTTCTAGTTCTTTGATCTTTTAGGTCTTTGATCCATTTTAAGTTAATGTTTGGATCTGATTTAAGGTATAAGGATGGTTTTTTGTTTGTTTGTTTGTTTGGATGGTTGGTTGGTTTTTAAAGAAGACATATTACAAATGGGATAATTGTAGAAGCAAAGTTCTCGAGTAAGTGAGAGAGGCTGGAATGTAGTAATTGACTGACTCTTTCCTTGACCAAACTTTAGTTAGTTTAGTTAGTAACTTTAGTTAGTTTAGTTTCTCTGAGCCCTCTTATCAACTAGGTCTTGACCTTGACCCCTACTCTATCTTTGGCAGTCTTAGCAAAGAATCCTCTACCCCTTTCTCCCCCTACCCTTGATACCTGAGGCCCTGACCTGCCTTTAGCAAGAATCCTCTTACCTTGATGTTTCCTCCTAATAACCTATCCATTAATTCCCTCATCTTGATCCTTGGCTAGAGATCCCCACGTCATTAAGTGTCCTATTCAGGATGACCCCAATTTTGCAAAAATCTTACTGCAAAGATTTTTTCAAAATCTTTAACATTTTCAATGAGGGGAGGGGGTTGGTCTCAGTAGGAGCAGGAACCATTGCCTGAAAATTAGCTACTGGAGAATCCAGAAAAAATTTAAGAAGCAAAAAAAAAAATTAGAAAGCAATTTGACATCCAAATAGAGTACAGAAGGCATGTGGTGAACAGAATAGGAATTTTACTCCCATTAATTGGGACAAAGAGGCCTATTTAAATAAAATAGAAAATGCACAACTACTATGACTGTTACAAGGTAAACAAGAGTGCAAAACTATTAAAAAGACAAGGAGAAATCTATAGAAACACAATACTACGGTAAGAACATTAAACATATTTTTAGTCTTTGACAGATCTAGTAAATAATGAACAGGTATGTAGAAGAGTTAAATAGTTTCATGCTATGTATATGTTAAACTTGTCCACTGAATGCAGAATACATCTCTTCAATCTTATAAAATAATGTTGAAAATTATGCAATAAAAGGCCTCCCTGGTGGCGCAGGCAGTTGAGCGCAGCGCTGTGAAGCTGTCCGCAGCCTCTGCAGTGCCGGTTTGATCCCTGCCGGCCTCAGAGCAACCCACATGGCAAGCAGACCTCTCCTGTCTCACCCGCTGCTCCCCTCAGCAGTGTATTTCATCAGTCTATCTGTTCTGTTCCCCGCTCTGTCTCTGGTGAATCCTCTCACCCTTCCGTGCATCTGGCCTGTACCCCGGCTTTTGTATAAATAAAATAAATCTCGCCTGCTGTTCCTCTCAGCAGTGGATTTCAGTCAATTCACCTGTTCTGCTCCCCGCTCTGTCTCTGGTGAATTCTCTCAAGCCCCACATACCTCTGGCCTACACCCTAGCTCTTATATGCATAAATAAATAAATCTTAAAAAAATAAAGATCCAAGAGTTAAGTTTTTCTAATTCAATTACTTAAAATTTTTTTATTTAGAAAAAGGTATTTTTAATTGGTCAAAATAGCACAAAATGACATTGCCCTGTGGTAATCGAGTCACTGGATTACTCTACAATAGATGAACGAGCTACTGCTCTTACAGAGAAAAAGCAGGGTGTTGGGAGAGGGAGTAGGCAAGTGGGCTCCAGAGTGACAAAATGTGACATTGTCCATAGGGAAATACACCACAGTACAACAAACGAGAGGACACGGGCTAGTGGCAGGGGCTTGGGAGGCCAAGAAACACTGTGTATACCACAATAGCCAAAAAGTGGAAGCAACTCAAGTGTCTGCTGACAAATAAATGGATAAACAAAAAGAGGCATACTATAAATATCCAATGGAATATTATTCAACCCTTAAAAAGGAAATTTTTGACGCATGCTACGACACAAATGAACCTTATGCCAAGTGAAATAAGCTAGTCACAAAAGAACAAAAATTGATTCCATATAAGGTACCTGGAGTAATCAAAATGATAGAGACAAAAAGTTGAATGGTGGTTACCAACCACTGGGAGAAACACTGGAAGAAAGTGTTTGATGAGTAAACAGTTATGGTTAGGGAGATCTAGAGATGGATGGTGGTAAATGTATTTAATGCCACCCTTAAAAATAATAACCTTTTACATTATGTGCATTTTATCACAATAAAAAAAGGCAAAAGTCATAACTGGAAAAGTGATTTTTAACTTTTTGAATCAATCTATAGACAAAGCAAAAAGATTTCATTTCATTCTGATTACAGATCTGAATATCAATAAGATAGAGCAATGAAACCAGATTATAAAAGCTGAGACTGTGGAAGAAAGGGTGTGAACTTACTGAAAGGGTAGAGATGCTTTTATCTTCATCTTTTAAAGCTAAGAAATACCACCTGATGGAATAAGAAAAAGAAAGTGTAAGTATGTTGCCTGAAGATACAACACAAAACCAACCTTGGAACTAAAGATAGTAAAATGTGTATTAAGAAACTAAAAAAGAAGGAAAATCGAGGTTGTGAAGTGTCAAATCCTCATCCATCATGGAAGGAGGTGATTGGAAAATGTCTAAACTACATAAACCAATAACATCACAGGTATATTGTGTAAATATATAGCCTCTTAATGCCTTGCTGGACTCCACTTTTCCTTCCCCCTTCACTCACGGTTTAGTCTCACCTCAATGTGCCATAAACACAGCAAACATGCCCCTACTTCAGGACATTGCGTTTCTGTTCCCTCTGCCTAGAATATTCTTCATTAAGATATCTTCATGATCCACCCCTCCATGACCCACCCACCCGCCCTCTATAGACTTTACTCAAGCCGCTATCTCAATGAAAATGTCTCCCCAGCACGCCCTTCCCTAGCTGCTTTAGTTTTTTCCCCCGTAGCACTTCAGGGATCACTGTCTAATATATTGTCCTTGACTTTTTACATGTTCACTCTGTCCCCTCCCGGTACCACGTAAGAGTGGATGGCAGGCGGAGAACTTTGCTTGTTTCATTCCCCTCTATGTATACTGGTGCCTGGAAGAGCTGCTCAGAATATAGGGGACAGGGACTCAATAGACAGATGTTAAAAGAATAAATGGAGGTAATATGAAAAGGAACAACTAAAGAGCCAAGCTAGAGGAAATTTTTTTTCTTAATTTATTTTTTATTTTCTTACATCGTTGTTCATTTTGGTACAATATTTGACTTCTCCCATAATTTTCCCACCATCACAGCACCCGTGATCCATCAGCATAGTCCTTTGTGTTCTTCCCTCCTGGTTTGACACCTCTCCCTCCTGCTCCCCTTTTGTTTGACTCAAATGTATGATTTGCCAGCAAATTTTGTATTTTTCCTGATTTTTTCCTTCAGTTTCCCTATATTCTCCCATAAGTGAAACAATCTGATAGTTTTCTTTTTCCTTCTGACTTATTTCACTGAGCATAATCCTTTCCAGCTCCATCCATGTTGCTGCAAATGGCATGAGTTTATCTTTTTGACTGCTGAGTAGTATTCCGTTGTGTATATAGACCACATCTTCTTGATCCAGCCACCTGATTTGGAGCTTTTAGATTGTTACCATATCTTAACTATTGTAAATAGTGCTGCAATAACCATAGGAGTGCTGGTTTCCCTTCCAATTAGTGATTTTGTATCCTTTGGGTATATTGAGAAAAAGTTTTTTTGCAGAACTGAGACTAGGTTGGGAAGGAGTGGGCAAGGAATAAGCTGCCTTTCCTCATGTACCACTTATAATTTTGTAATCATGTAAATACATTATTTTTGATCAAGAGTTAAGTAAATTATAATTTTCTCAAAACAAGAGAAACACATTTTAGGACACTGTCAAAGAAAAAATAATGAGGGGATGCACCCTAAACTGTACTCACAAGTAAACGCATTCCTTAAATGTTTTCATTATTAAACAAGAAAGAAGAAAAACAAACACACGGTGCTTGCTTCAGCAGCACATATACTAACGTTGGCACCATACAGAGATAAGCGTGGCCCCTACCAAGGATGACATGTGAATTTGTGAAGCGTTCCATATTATTCAAAAGGAAAAAGAAAAAATAACAAACAGAACATTCACCTAAAGGAACTGGAAAGAAAGTAACAACAAAATAGAAAAAAGGGGATAGAAATGAATATAGCTGAAGATAGAAAATAATTGTGAAAGAATACAATTCCTTTCCCAAGGAATTTGAGTTCCTTGGGAAAAAGAACCAGTGAAATATTAAAATGGCTGGAGAATAGAATCAAGAAAAAAGAAACCATGATCCACAAATGAACAATCAAATCAACAATCCCTGAGAAGATAGTGCCACAGATACAGAGGTGCTGGCCACGTTTTGAAAGGATGAAATCCTGAATGAAGTGAATGGTTCTCTAGAAATTAAAATTCTCTCAAGAAGAAACAGGAAACCGGAACAGGATAATCACCTTAGAAGAAAAATGAAAAGCTGTCAAAAATACATTTCAAAGAGGTCCAACCCAGATGATTTGATGAAACCGTTTCATTTCTGCCCTAAAACAGTCACAACTACATAATTTATCTTAGTGTTGGGCTTTGTTTATTTAAACCTTTAAATATTTGATCCACTGGGGATGTATTTTGATACAAGAATCCGGTGAGGATCCCCATCTCTGCTATTCTGGTTTCCCCACTTCTTTATGGGGGTGTGCACCACACTAGCTAGGCCTACATCCTTCTGACAAGGACTGGCTTTTGTGAGTGGAAACCATCACATCCACTAGTGCCCAGCTGGGTCTCAAACCTTGACACCCTGAAATAGGAGTTAAGACGCCAGACTTTAATTTTTATAACCTCTCCCCCAAAATCTCTCCTGTTTACACATTAGAGGAAAAGCATCATTAATGTCTGAGAATGTCAAATTCAAACACATTGGAGTGTTGATACCCCATAGTTCTTTTTTTAAAGATATATCTATTTATTTATGCACAGAGCTGTGGTATAGGACAGAGGTGCAGGGGGTGAGAGGATTCACCAGAGATAGAGTGGGGAGCAGAACAAGGGCATTTACTGATATACATTACTAAGGGGAGCAGCAGGCAAGACAGGAGAGGTCTGTTGTGCCATATGTGGGTCATCTCCCTGGCCAGGGATGGAACTAACACCCCAGTGGTGATAGGGCTGAGACTTAACCCATAGGCCACCAGGGAGACCCCAAAATTCCTTAGTTGAAAGAGTTGTACAGCCACATTCACTGCAGTATTATGCATAATAGCCAGAGGGTGGAAACAACCCAAATGTCTGCTGATGGGTGAGTGGATAAATAAAATGTGAGCCATAGTCTTGCATAGCATAATGATGTTTCAGCAATGACAGACCCCATATACCATGGCAGCCCCAAGTGGCTACACCATACAGCCTAGATGTGTAATAGTTTACACTCGGACGCTTGCACAGTGACCAAATCACCCAAGGAAGCACTTCTCGGAATGTACCCCCCTCATTAATGGCCGCGTGACTATGCTTATAATGGAAAGTTATTCAGTCTTAAAAAGAAATTCTAACACGTGCTACAATAGGAAGAAACTTGGAGACATTATGCTAAGTGAAATAAGCCAGTCACAAAAAGACAAATATGGATTGTCACATATAGGAGGTAGGCACTCTAGGCAAAAATCGGAAGGACAGAAAATAGAATGCTGGTTCTCCAGGGCTGGGGCTGGGGGTGCGGTGGGGAGTTTTTATCTAATAGGTAGAGAGTTTCAGTTTTACAAGATGTAAAGACTTCTATAGATTGGTTGCACAATGATGTGGACATATTGAACATTACTGAACTGTAGAGTTAAAATGGTAATTTTTAGATTTTGGTACAATTAAAAAATTAAAACAGTACATGGATAACAGGCAAGACTAACGAGGTGAAGAAGCTGAGCATCCCCCACCTCTCCCCACCGCACCCCTAAGCCCCCTTCCAAAGGGTCACTAGAGAATGGTCAGGGAGTTCATCCCAGCACAGCTGCCACCCCAACATCCTCCGAGGGAGGCCCATTGGGGGCAGGTACAACGTCCCCCAGCTCTCTCCCCTTCCTTCCTCCTTCTACCCTCTGCAACCTCTGAGGAAAGTTGGGTCAGTGCCCAAAACTCACAAGTTTGCTTTAACCTGGCTTCTCAGTGGTTGGGTGCCCCCGAGTCTTTTCATCTTCCAGCACCCCATTTTAACCCATTTTAAGTGAACAACTCGGTTTTTGAGTAAATTTAAGAGTCATGCAACCATCACCACAATCCAGTTTCAGAACATCCCCCACCCCACCCCACCCCACTTAAAGGGTTCTAAGCCCAGGGACCCTCATCTGTAATGGGAGATCAGTGAGCCTAGTCCATTACAGGCCACCAACAAATTTTACCTATTATTATTATTCTAGTTTTTTTTTTTTAATATTTACTTATGCATACAAGAGCTGGGATACAGGCCAGAGATGTAGGGCTGAGAGGATTCACCAGAGAGAGTGGGGGACAGAACAGGCAGACTGACTGAAGTACACTGCTGAGGGGAGCAGCAGGCAAGACAGGAGAGGTCTGCCGCGCCATGTGGGTAGCTCCCTGGCCAGCTGGGGATCGAACTCATGCTGCACAGGCTGTGGATTGCTCCATAGTGCGGTGCTTAACCCCTGGCGCCACCAGGGAGGCCCCTTATTCTAGTTTCCGATGGAGACCTGTTTTCAGTTACCCTTTCCCCCGCACATCCAGTCTGAGACGAGGCAGCGGCCAGCGCCCGGAGCGCGCACGGAGGCGGGGGTGGGGGGGCTGACATCACCGGCCGCCCAGCTCCGCGCGGAGCTTCGGTCCCCGGCCCCGCCCACGCCCGAATCCGCGATCGCAGAATCGGGCCTCACTCGGCGCCCTGGCTTCGCGGGCGGCGTGGCTCGGGGCTGGATTGGTGATGCCTGGGCGCTGCGGGCGCCTGCGCAGTGGGGCGGGAGAGCTCGCGCCGAGGGGCTGCGGAAGATCCCCCGGAGCGGGCCGGGGCTGCTGCTGCAGGGCGGGCGGCCGCACCATGGCGGAGGAGGAGCTGGAGGCGCTGCGGAAGCAGAGGCTGGCCGAGCTGCAGGCGAAGCACGGGGTGAGCGGGGCGCCGCCCTCGCCGGAGGTGGAGGGCGCGGCCCCGGGGGGGGGGCTTGGGCGCCGGGAGCGGGGCCGACCCGCGGCCCGGGACCCCGCCGCTGCCCCCGCGGCCTCGTGGCCCCCCGAGGCCCGCGGCCTCTCCCCGTCGCGCGGGGCCCGGGGCTGCCGGGCGGCCACGTGCGCCCCCGGGCCGGGCCTGTCGGGCCGGGGTCCGCTGGCCGGAGGGGGCCCGCGCGGGGGCGTCGGGCCGGGCCGAGCGCGGGCTGCTCGGGGCCCTCCGCACTCTTGTGCGGCTTTTGTGTCTAGACCGTTTTCGCCCTCGAATTATTTTCTGGAATTCAGTGGTGCCGCCCCCACATTATCGGCAAACATTTTTTGAGGGTCTGTCCCGCGCCGGGTGCGGGGAGTCGAGGGACACCCACCCGCTGTGGGGGGCTGGCTGTCGGGAGCCGCGCTCACCTCGGAGATGAGTGTCTGGGGGTGTCTACACCGGGAGGGGCGGGCCCCGGCCCGGGGTGGGTTAGGGGTGGTCCCTAGTGAAGCTCCGCTTGAATCATCCCCAGCACCGAAGCAGATTTCATTTTCCATCAGTTATTGTAAACTGCATAGTACAGGGACGCCCCTCCCTGATTGTTGTTGTGTTTGAAAATACTCTGTCAGATTGTGGCTTTGGAAACTTGTCAGATCATTGTGGTGAATGACAAGTAACCCATTCTCCTGTGTGAGGTCCAGTTTAGTTTTGGGGACTCTGTGTCTCACTGCGGGAGCCTGTTAGGTATCAAAAGCCAACTAGGATAGTTCCTGCTTTGTTTTGTTTCTCTCTGTGAAAGCACGCCACTAAAAGGTAAAAATTATCATTTCAGGACCCTGGAGATGCAGCACAACAGGAAGCAAAGCACAGGTATGGGTTGGAGCTCAGAATTTTTACCGAGGGTGATTTTACCAATTTTTCTTTTTTTTTTTGAACTTCAGTTATTTTAACAAGTGTGTGAATCTTAGTTTTTTCCTGATGTAGTGATTTCTCTGTGAATCATCCTGGTATCATTGTTCTAATTTATTAAACATGTGGAGTCCCACATTACTTTGCAGTTAGGGTTGATGCTTGTTGCTCTGCTAAATTACTTTAAAAACAGCACAGCAAGAACTACTTGATAGGGTAGGATTACTTGGGTCAGGTGCTTGACATTTAGTATATTCTCAATAATTAGTAACTATTATAGTACTCTTACTGTTGTTTTATCCCTGTGCATAGCAGAGCACCTCACACATGGCAGGTTAGTGGAATGAATACGTGGTTGCTCCATGCTACCTTCTTTCCCTAGTTGTGACTAAAAAAAAAAAAAAAAAAAAACCCCACAAACTTTACCAGTGTACAGTGAAATAGTACCTGTATTCTCTTGCAACAGATTTCTAAAACTTTTTCATCTTGCAAACCTGAAACTCTACCTACAGAACAATTCTTCTTTTTCCCTCCCCCATCATGTTACCACTTGACATGTTCATTCAGCAAATATTTGGGTACCTGCTCAGGGTCAGGCATTCTGCTGGGTCTGCAGGAATAGGTGAGGCAGAGAAAGTTCCTGCCCTTGAGTGGCTTAATTAGTGGGACAAGACAAACGGTATACACCTGGGATAGTGCCAGCGAGAAAATGAATTTCATTGATTCTAAGATGTGCCTTTTTTACCATTTTAACATGTCCGAAATGGGCTGTGTGTCAAAATTGATCCCTTTTATCCTGGGTTCTTTCAGAGAGGATTTACTTTTGCTTCTGCCATCACTTGGGTACATTTCTAACCGGAGACCTCTTAAAATTCTCTGCTTGAGGTATCCTCCTCCCTCCACCCTGGTTGAGTGAATGCAGGCAGCAAACCTGCAGTCTGGGCCAAGGTTGCGCATGCATGCCTTCTTGCTGGCCCTTCTGCACAGCAGGCTTATTCTGCCTTACCTTATAGCATCTTATATTAGACCCTCCTCTGCAGTGTTTTCTTGTTGTTAGAGATACATCTTAGATTGAGTGAAGTACAGTACAGCTCATAGCAGGGTCAGAGGACTCTGGAATAAGGGGGACATGCCAAGTAGCGGGCTTCAGGCTCTGTGCCTTGAGCCCTAGGGCTCCTTACGTGGGGCAGTTAGTAGGCACAGCCAGTGTTTTAGCCAAAGAATCTGCTTTTGTCTATGTGGTGTGTTGTTTCTTGAAGGACATCATTTTAAAAAAAAATAACTGCCTTATGAACATGAATTAGTTTCTACTTGGATAGGCAGGAAACTGCAAGGATAGTTGCAGAATTATTATTTCTATCTCCTCCCCACCTAAAAAAATAGAAGAATCTCAAAACATAGATGTGGTTCTAGCTTAGCCTCAGATAACCTGTCTCTTCAGTGTCTTCGCTGGGTCTCAGCTTCCTTATCTCTTATCACAGAGATGAATCACTGGTCCTTCTAATCGAACTCTCACTATACAGTGCTAGAACCTCTCACATGAAGTACTTAGTAAGTGTTGGTAATGGTGGTTGAACTGGAACTCCACCTTGAATTATGAAAATAGAAAGTTTACCTTTCCACCTGGTGGGTGCTAATGTAAAGGTAGCTTCTGAGGGCAAGAGTGGACTCTTCTACTTTAGTATGCCTGCTGCTACCCACATGGCACCGGACCATGGCGCAGTCTGTGTGTGTGCAGCAGGGGTCCATCTTGCGGAGTGTGTCGAGTGAGTTATGTTTCTGTCTATTCTATAGGACTGCTGGCTGCTTCGTTCTAATTTTGCTTGACCTGTTTTTGTTGTAGGGAAGCAGAAATGAGAAACAGTATCTTGGCCCAAGTTCTGGATCAATCAGCCCGGGCCCGATGTAAGCATCTCCAGTTTCCTTTAAATTATTTACCAGAGGGCATCCCCGGTGGTGCAGCAGGTTGAGCGCAGCGCTGTGAAGCTGTCCACTGCTTCTGCAGTGCTGGTTCGATTCTCAGCTGGCTGTGGAGAAACTCACATGGCGCGGCAGACCTCTCCTATGTCTCCCGCTGCTCCCTTCAGCAGTGTCTTTGGTCCATCTGCCTGTTCTGTTCCCTGCTCTGTCTCTGGTGAATCCTCTCACCCTCCCGCACATCTGGCCTGTACTCCAGTTCTTGTATAAATAAATAAATCTTTAAAAAAATTTCCAACAAATACTGCTATCTCTGTAGTAAATATTAGTTGTATCAAAAAAACGAGATAGAGTATTTATAAGGAGTGCGATGTTATAATTCTTAAAGAAAAGTACTTTAATCATTAATTGAAAGCACCAGCTTGGTTCTTAGTGAGATGATCTCCAAGCACAAAGTAGGTAAAATTTATAGGCAACAACTTTTCAGTCAAGGCGGTCACACGTTGCTGGTAGTTGCCATGGGTGATGGGAACTTAGGGGTTTATTGCATTCTTGATTTTAATGTCGATTCATAATTTTGCATAATAAAAACTAAGAATAAAGCCCTATAAAAAATGAAATTAAGCCAATCAGAATGAACTAATGTATTCCGTATCATAAACTGAAGCCCAGCTTAGGAGAAGGAGCCCGGATGAATGACCACAGCTGTATGTGAGTAGCAGCCTGTAAGTTGATTTCCAGAGGGCAATCATATTTTAAAAATAAGTAGGGAACTTAGAATCTGAGGACCCAAGTTCATTCTTGGCCCAAGTTCAATCTGGGCTCAGCCCCTCTGTGTAGCCTTGACTGAGATCGACACTGCTGAACTTCAGTTTCTTTTTTAAGAGGACTATCTGGCCTACTTACCTCCCTCTCTAGACATGGTCTGTGAAATGCTTTGGAAATGTCAATGCATAGCTTTAAGAATATGTGCATTTAGTTATGATGACTTTTGTATATTTTTCTTTTTAGTAAGTAATTTAGCACTTGTAAAGCCCGAAAAAACTAAAGCAGTAGAGAATTACCTTATACAGATGGCAAGATATGGACAACTAAGTGGGAAGGTGAGTTTGGATTGCCTTGAGGCAGTTTTACCCCGTGTTACCTGCTGTACCAGAACATACCTTCGCAAGGCCAATTTCATCTTGTGGTTATGGAATTCTTACTGACTCTGTGAAATAATTTTTAAATAGAATAGTCATATCTATACTAAAAGACAATAAATTGCTTTAAAATCCTCTACTGCTTTCCTTTCCTGGACATTGCCATGGAACTTCATGGGTGTCTGTGTGACCCCACAACTGTTACTGTCAGCCAGCTTAACTTACTGGAAACAAGGGTTGTCAATAAGTTACAGAGCTGCCAATATAGGTAGAAGTGAAGCTTGCTATGGAGGTCAGAGGAGGTAAAAGCCCTTGATTGTCGTGTGGGTTCCCTTCATGCTGTGATGGAGACACACTGGGCAGCTGGGCCTTCTCTCAAGACCCAGGCGAGCCCCACCTGCACCAGGAAGCCTGCTGCCACCACAGTCCACAGAGTCAGTCCTGCCCGAGCCCCTTATTCCAAGAACTTGTTTGCAAAAGAGCCTGGGTTTTGTGCCTCCTGCATCTGAGCTTCTCAGGGTGATGCGCCTTTACTCCTGGCACTGAACACTGTGGTGTGGGTGGCTCTCATCGTCTGTGGATGATAATGAAGGTGTACTTCGGCACCTGTTAACTTTGGGCTTTTCTGAGGAAGCGAACAGATGGAAACTCCCTCCCCTCAAGTGAGGATAACCAAGCAAATTTAAATTATAACTGTAACTGATAAATACGAGCAGTTGTCTCAACCTCATGCCACCTTCACTTTCCCGTATCTCAAAAGGTTGTGAAACTTGTCTGCTGAGGACGGTTCTTTGTTTCAAAAGTTCTTTTTCTCTTTCTGGCTATTCTAGGTTTCAGAACAAGGTTTAATAGAAATCCTTGAAAAAGTAAGCCAACAGACAGAAAAGAAAACAACAGTTAAAGTAAGTTTCCCCAAATGCACACCACAAAACAAACCGTTTTAAGTGATGTGTTGAACGCACCTCTGCTGACACGGCCATCTGTCAGTCCACAGACAAGTTCTTTTTGTAACACATAGATGTTTGGGGAGAAAGACTGCATCTATCACGGGGTCTGATTTTTATGGCTTTTCTGTTGTTCCCGTCCCCTTAGATCTAAAACACTAGGTTTTAAGGAAGACAAAAAAATGTTATGCTAAACATAGTAGGTAGAAATTTTTCTTCTGGAAAATTTGAATTATGCTTTAGTAAACATGACACTGATTTAATTTCACCCCCAGTTCAACAGAAGAAAAGTAATGGACTCTGATGAAGATGACGATTATTGAATTTGTAATGTTGAGAGACTGAACTTAATGGAACAATTCTAGGACTACTTGGCAGAAGTTGAGACCTGATTGAATGTTTACTTTGTTTATTGTCTATATGCCTTTAAAAAAATAAACTTGTTATTCAAAATGACAGTTTGAACAAAGTTCTTTTTGTACCATAGCCAAAGGAACAGAAAATGAACATTTCAATTTTTTCCCCCTTTCCTACCAAAAGCTCTTAAACCCACGCAGCAGCCTGGACACACCCTTTGCAGTAGAGGCTGCCTGCGCTCTTCAGTGGCGAGAACTAAGCCCAGGGCAGGCAAAGCCAAACACTCCACTCCTAGACATTGGCCCTGAAAGCAGGGAAGCGACTGTTCTTCTGCAGATAGTACTTACATTTAATGTAAGAAAACGCCTAGCTTTGGTTTCATTTATAATCTGCTTTTAAAAGGCATTGAGACTAAATTATATAGTAAACCACCTCTGCAACAAGAGTGATATTTCATTAAAAAATATAAACTGGGAGAGACTGGTTAGTGCAATTAAGAAAAATGTGAGACATCAACTTCTCATTAAAATCCAGTGAGCTGGTTTAGCAGTTAAAACATTTTGACAGACGTGTCCTGGGGTCTTCACAGATGAAGCTGCAGGTAATTTAAACGTCATCTCTTAGATTGTGCTTTACTCCCGCTAGGGTGTGAAAATTCATAAATTTAAATCATAAACTTAAATGAGCGGTTTGGCATCACCCTTTACTCGTCGTCCCCCAAGACCGGGATCTGGGGACAGGACTAACTTCGTGAGCTGTGTAGGGTCACGAGCCACAGAGTGGTTGAGTGTGCTTGACACTTTAGTGAGCATATTGCTGATGAACTTTTAAACTATATGGGAGATTATACTGTATTTGAGATGAAATTTTTGTAAAACACCTCATTGATCAGGAAAACCAATGTGATTAAGTGTCTGGCATTCCAACAAATCAGTGAGTAGAACTATCGAGCACATCAGAAAAATTTTGAAGGCATTACAAAGTGAAGGATTTGGGGGGGAGAATCCCAATTACAGATAAGCTTCACTTTAGGTCTCGTTTACATAATGCTCAGAAGTTAATCTTCACACGCTTTCTCCTGCAGAATAGCCGCTGCCTCCATGGCATCTACTAACACAACTGTGTGGAGACTCAGGTTCCTGTCCTTCAAAGATTTTTAAGACGGGAAGAGTGGTTCTGCCTGCAAGGGTGGCCATTCTGGACGGCAATGGGGACGAGGAGTCTGGGGTGGGGAGAGATTATCCTAAACTTTCTAATTTGACTGATGGTACTTTAAATGCAAGACAGTCTTCCCCAGAGCAGAAATTCAGGCATTCCCACTTCTGAACTGTCAAACGTAGCTTTAAGTAGAGAAAACTGCAGAAAAACACAAGCGTTAAAAATAATTGAGGTATAATCACTTCAGACAGCTTGCTCTGCTGATTACCAGGGTAGCTCAAGAGGCAACGCCTCCCCTCAGTTTGACAGTCTAACTCACCTGGGGCTGTGCCTCCAGGTGAAGGGGAACCCCAAGCTGGAAACTTGAGTTCAAGGCCCTCTTGACATAGCCAATCGGGCCTCGGCTTCAGCTCAAGCAAACGGGCCCCTCAGTTCTCTGTACCCATCTTCCTCACTGAACAGTCCTGCCTGCCAGGACAACTGTTAGAATTAAACAGGCGCACACGAACATTTTCAAGATGATACCATAGCACCCCAAAAGTTAGGTGGTATTTGTGAATTTGCATGTTGGGGATGTGGTGATAAGGGACTATAGGTTATACTTCTTAAGTGGAGTGACAGAAAACCACCTTATGCTTATGTTCTTTTGTTTAAAAATGAGGATAAGGAGAAGAAATAAATCAAAACAAAGAAATTCACAAAGCCAAGTGCTCATCTCCTGTTCAGGCTAGAAAGCTACATCATTGTCTTTTTTGGCTCTAATTTTGAAAGAAAACATTTTGGTAGGCCCCAAACACTGCTCTGTTCACAATGATCCAGCTGACGTGTTTCAGTCACAGTCACTTCTGTAAAGGTGGATACCCAGCTGGTGGGAAGAGTTTTCTCCACACATAAAGCATGTGTGTCCCAGAAGTGCTGAGAAACATCTCCCCACAGCAAAACCTCAACTGAAAAGGCAAACATACCAGACACTCAAGAATCATAAAGTTTACTGTTTCTTTTCCATCATTTGGCACATATCCAAGGCACATTAGAAAATTAGAAATCATAAATTACTTTGTAGAAAAATAATCAGCCCCTCCCTTGTATACATACAGAAGTATTTCCAAGAACATGCGCAAAACCATTCCTTCTTACAAAGTCATTTGAAAATGTCTGCAGGACAAACCCACCTTTGCAGCTCTCGACCAATTAGTAACATAAAAAAATAACAGTATAATCTGTAGAAATTTATAAAAAGGAAGAAATGGCAATAAATTCTAACGTAAAGGAACTTGGACCTGGCTTGTGCTGTAAGTTTGGAATTTGAAGCAAGAGACTAAGAAAAGATGTGCCAAATCTCTCTAGTTCAGTAACCATCCTCAGGGGTACGTGGAAGGGAGGTTCTTAACGGAAAGGGAGGTTTCTAGTGACACTGTGACCCATGCGCATGTGCAGGGATCTGTACTTGGCTGGAAAAAGAATTAAACCTAGTTTTCCCTCATGCGTGGTATGGAACTGGTCTAGTGGGTCCTCTTTAGAATGAACTTCAAAAGGGCATTTAGGCATCTTTGGGTTCAAGTGTTGCTTTGCAAAGAAATACTCTCCAGTTCCTGTCTTCATGCCAATGTGCACTTCTGCCCGGCCTTGGTACTTGCAGCCTGGACTGCAGCTAATCTCAGCTTTTCCCAGAGCGGGGAGCTCTAGCTTGGGGTTTGCTGATTTACACACATCTGGGGGGTCTAGCACCTTTCAGTGGGAGGTCAACCTGGTGATGAAACCTCTCACTGTAACCAAGGAAACCTAACACTTAAAAAGAAACACCCAGCCTTCGGGGACAGGACACCACGGCAACTTTTGTCCCCTTCTTTTCAAGTGTGTTCATTAGCTCTGAAGACAAGAGATGGTGGTAAGTTTTCTGTTGCCTTCTTTTCCTTGGCCACAGGAAAGCTTTCAGGAACTTTCTGCTTTGTTTCCCAGTTGTCTGGAAGGACATTTTGTCCTAGGCCGTGTTCATGCCCAGCATCCTGCTGAGCACTCACTTCTTGGCAGCAAATGGGACATTCCTTATCGCTGTTAAGACTGGGAAAGGCCAGCCTCCTGGCGAGCAGGGAGGCCGCCAGCCCGCTCTGGGCCCTGGGCCACCGTGTCACTGGCATCCCCAACAGTGTGTCTCCGCACCATTCGCCGGCTTCTGGGAGTGCTGTGCTTCCACCCAGACCGCTCAAGCTGGTCACCGCGTCCCTGGTCAGTAGTCTGAGAGCTGCTCTGGCCTGGCAGGGGCGTCTGTGTCAGTGTGCCTCTTGGCCTCCTTGGCTAAAGAAAAGGGACCATTTAAGCAGTTCTCGTTGACACTACTTTATAAAACCGCCAACAGCTCCCCTCGATGCTTATCTGCGTCATTCAATGTGCTTTCCAGCATAACTTCAGCTGACATCCCCGGGACAGCAGTGTGACGGGCACACCCTGGGTGTGAGATGCACAGACCTCACATGTCATCCTTACCATCCTAACAAGTGTGTACCTGGTCACCACCCCCGCTGTACTGCTGGGGAGACAGGATCTGCAAAGCTAAGCGCTTGTTTCCCTCCTAGCTGTAGGTCTCTCATATTAGCAAGACCAGGAAAAGGTTGACTATGAAGTTTTAATCAGTCATACTAACATAAAACACTTGAATGGTCTAGAAGATTTAGACTGAGTGTTTGTTCTAAGAAGCCTATGCTGAAAGGCAGAAACCCTTCTTCTCCCTGTCAGCAGAGGAGGTGAGCAGCAGCAAGAAGTGTTTCTGAGGAGAGGCCCCAGCAGCACTGCTGTGAACCTGCTGCTGCTGCTGACAGCTGAGCCGCCAGGGCTGCAGGGCTTCTCACGCACACCGCTTTCTACCTTTCCCTTGCTTTCCGTTCTCAGTCCAGAAATGTATTCTTAAATGTAATAAATGAAATCTTTCCCCTTGACAGACCCATTAAAGAACTCCAGTTTTTGTTCCAACCGCTATGGAAAGCCATGTGAAGGACCCTCAAATTTCTAAAAATGGAGCGACCATATGACTCAGCAACTCCACTCCCAGGAATCTACCCAAAGGACACAAAAACATTCATTCAAAATGAAACCTGCACTCCTATGTTTATTGCAGCACTATTCACAATAACCAAGATATGGAAACAACCTAAATGCCCAAAAATAGATGACTGGATCAAGAAGATGTGGTATATATACACAACGGAATATTACTCAGCGATCAAAAAAGATAAACTCATGCCATGCGCAGAAACATGGATGGAACTGGAAGGGATCATGCTCAGCGAAACAAGCCAGAAGGAAAAAGAAAAATATCTAATGGTTTCACTTATAGGAGGAACACAGGGAAACCATACAAGGGATCAGAAAGAAAAAAAAAAAGGCAAAACTAGCAGGCAACTATAAATTGGTGATGGTTCACGGGCATCTTGGTGGTGGTAATTTTATGGGGACAACACCTGAGAGGAGAAATCAAAAATTGTACAAAAATGAACAACAATATCAAGATATATAAATAAAAATGAGGGGGGGAACCCCTACAGTTTTAAATGTTAATTCTGAAGGGAATAATGACATAAAAAATATATCTATAATGATTTTGTTTTTAAAAAGCCAGGCTTTAGAAAACTGACTGTAAGCCAGTGTTTAATAACTCACCTCATGTAAAGAATCTTCCGTTAAATTAGGGACACTTCTATCTCTTGCCATAAACTCCCTTGAAGTCTTTCCCCTAAAATCCCCAAAAAGGAAAAAAAAAAAGCAATGTTTGGGATAGTGGTATGAAATACTCTGTTTGGCCACAAGGTGGCATCATTTTGTGCATGCACATTTGCCTAGAATTCATTAAAACCACACATACCCCGCCTCCCTTGTAAGTAAATGTAGGGTCAAAAGTATAGAAATCAACCCGAATTTTATACTCACTTCAATTGACCAACTGACTGGACAAAATAAAACTGTCTTGTAAAAGGTTCATTTGGCAGATCATATATTTTTGAGTTCCCTGTAGACAAAAGGACAAACATACATATCAAAACTTCCAAAACTAGCTAAGAATTGCTTTAGAATTATAGCATATATGCAGTCTTTCCATTTTCTTAATTTAACAAAATTTAGGAAATTATTGAATTTAAGGAATCATGTTAGGAGACATCTACTACTGTATGAACCCTCATGAAACAAAGCTAAATCCTTAATATGCTGAAATTTTCCACAGCTAATTATAAGACTGCATCAGAATCGTAGCTATAGGACGGACTGATTCGCATTACTGGATTGCAAACTCATAATTAGAAAAGAGTAGATTAAAGGACCCCTATAACAACCTTAAAGAAAAGAAGGAAGTATTTTAGCCCAACCCATTTGGCAACTGCTCTTCTAATTACTATAAACCTGCAAGCTTAAAACATCTCTGAAGATAGCATGCCCAGAATATGCTTAGGAAAAGGCCTTGGCTTGGAACACAAAGCATGAAAGAAAAAAACCAGCATGGTTCCCCTTCTCCAGCTTGGTAGAGGCCTGACCTTCAAGGCAACACAACCCACCAGAAAAACAGCGTCAAAACAGCTGATAAAGGGCATCCCTGGTGGTGCAGGGGTTAAAATCTCAGTGCTATCAAGCTATTCCCAGACAGGGAACTGACCCACCTGGCGCAGCACACCTCTCCTGACTCGCCTGCTGCTCCCCTCAGCAGTGTATTTCAGTAGATCCACCTGTTTTGCTCCCCACTCTCTCTGATGAATCCTCTCACTGCCCATACCTCTGGCCTGCACCCCAGTTCTTGTATGCATAAATAAATAAAATATAATAATAAATCTCTAAAGAAAAAGAGCTACTAAGTTAGGATATATTAATAACACATTTCCTTGGTCCTATATCCCACCCCCAGTTATGGTTATAATTGCATTTTACATTTACAATCAAATGAGAATCAACCACTCGTGAACTTCCAAATAAACCCAAGTGGAGAACTGCAGAAAGAATGGAAGCCCTTACACTTTTTCCTGATCTTAACAGTAACGTACTCCTTGGGGTCCTCTTCGCTGGCGTCATCCAGTGTGGCCACGCAGCTTGGCACTACCTGAAGTAATTCCATTATTTTTGAATTCTACAATTTGAAAGGGGAAAGATAACCGAGTTGTTTTTTATTCTTACTTAGGTTATGACCAGTTTCTGATGTCAATGTCAATGTTGAGGTGGCGGGACAGAAAAGCAAAGACACAGCTACGACAGGACACTGGGCAGTGGGGGGAGCAGTCTGGGTGGGGCCCTGCCGGGGGCCCCAGTAAGATGTCCCAGGCCAAGGATGTCACTGCTCTGTGTAAAGAGGTTGACAGGTACAGGCTCAGCCACATTGTTGTACAGTTACGGGGTTACTGAGGCAAAAGACATTCATCATTATCATCATTTGAGAAAGAATTAGGATGAAAGTTAAAATATTTCAATTCTAAAATTAAGAAAAATCACTCTTAATAATACAGTAAGTGTGAGTAGGCTGGACTGAGAGTGAACTGACATGACAATGGTGTCCAGTAAGAGCCCACTAATTGTCTACCTAATTAGAAAACTAGGAAAACATGGAACTAGACAACATGAAAACAGAAAGAGCCACCTTTTTCCCAGGAGAAGGGATTTTTCCTCATCACTCCTCGCTGGTGAACATTCTCATAACTGCGAGCACTAAATTGGTTGTCACAAGCCTTACAGAGCTCAAGGCGTGTAAGCTACCAACTGAGCAAACTTTCTCCATTGTGCAGCCGAGACCCCAGGTGTAGACCCAGTTCCCAAAGGGTGAAATCAGGACCTGCCTCAGCTTCCTGCTGCGCCATGAACACTGATGGCTCGGCAGAGGCCAGACCAGGGTGCCAGGACCTGCAGGGGTAGGGGCGCCCCTGCTTGGCCCTCTGCAAACCACCCTGAAAGGCCGGTCCCCAGCGAGCATGCCACCTTGAGCAGGTGAGCAAGGACCAGGCATCTATTTAACCACACTGGGGGGCATCCCTGGTGGACTAGGGGTTGAATCATTGAGCAATAACACCACTATGGCCTGAGTCTGATGCCCAGCCAGGGAGCTACCCACATGGTGCAGATGACCTCTCCTACCTCACCCACTCTTCCCCTTAGCAGTGTATTTCAGTGAATCTGCCTGTTCTGCTTCCCACTCTGTCTCTGGTGAATCCTCTCATGCCCCACACCTCTGGCCTACACCACCAGTGCTTCTGAAAAATCAGGGAGATGCATGGTGCTCAGCCCGGACAGCAAGTCAAAGGTCTGGCTGGTGCAATTCCAGATCTGTTTAAACACCATGAGTCCAGAGTGAGCACTAAGGATGCCCAGTGCCCTCGGCTCTCCCTTGCTGCTCACCTGGTCAGCACAGTCCATGGCTGTGCACTGCCTCTTGTTCAACACCTGGACAGATGCCCCGTGAAGCAGAAGCAGCTCCACCACGAAGACGTGCCTGCCTATCACCGCCTCATGCAGGGCTGTGTTGCCCTTGTTGTTAGCGACATTGATGGCAGCCCCGTGCTAGAAAGAAAAGGGAACGCAGAAGCTCACTTTGCAGGGAGGGCCGATGACCCCAAGGTCACAGGTCCTGGCACTGGCTCTTACCTGCAGCAGCAACGCGGCCACTTCGTGGTGGCCGCCAGCACTGGCGTAGATGAGGGGCGTGTTTCCTCCACTATCCTTCTTATTGGGCTTCACGTTAGCACCTAAAAGGTCCTTCACCACCTATCCGGGAGGAGAGATTTTCAGTCCTAACTGGAATTTGCAAAGGAGGAACTCTCCAACTTGATGTTCTTTTGAGTTTTCTGTAAATGGACTCAGAATGCCCTTTGGACAGGTGTCTGGCCCTCCAGAACTGAAGGGGGAATTAACATTTGAGGGTCTGTTCTGTGCCAGGCAATGTGCTAGGCACTCTTTTTAAATTTAATCATTTCTCCATGGAGAGCTGGTATTACTGCTCCATTTGTACAGATCAGGGAGTGGATGCTGGGAGCACAGTGCTAGGCCTGCGAGAGAGGGAAGACCGGTGATCTGGTTCCTGTCTAAAAAGCTTACAGGGGAATGAATAATGGAAAGGCAGATGAACAGATAATCATTTTCAAAAAGAAAAATACACAACTTTTTAAAAGTCAATCATTTCACAATCATTTCTTGAGACTCTCCTGCAACAGGCCCTGATTCTATAAAGTACTAAGTCAGACACAGCCTAAGGGCGGTGTGGGAGTGGGAAGTGACCTGTGGGTGGAGCCTCAGGAGCCACACCCAAGCCCTAGGGGAAGCCCTGGCTGGGGTGGAATCAGAATAGGTACCTCGAAGCCACCAGATGCGAGCGGCAGTGGGAGCGGGGTAGATGCACCCCCAGAAGCACTGGCGTCCTAAGGTCTGCTATTGACCAGTCCTGCCATGGACATCTCAGAACCCCAGGGCTGGGAGCAACAAAATGTGCCCTCCTCTGGGTGACCTGCCAAGCCTTTCCCCTCTGCAGCCTTCTCACCAACTGAGGTTCTAAGCAAAAGCAGTACCTATAAGCTCGCTCTCCAAGGAGACAGACTCATACCTGAAAGTGGCCCCGCTGGCAGGCCAGGTGCAGGGGGATGGCTTGGTCTGCATTTCTGGCACCTGCGCTGGCACCATGCTTCAACAGGAGGGGGATGAGGTCTGCCCGACCATGCAGGGCAGCAACATGCAGTGGGGAGGAGCCCTCCTGGTTGGTCACATTCACGCTGAGCCCACTGGCAGGAATCTTTGCCAGCTTCTGTAAGAGCAGGAGATGGAAACAGCAGTGCCATTAGTATTTAAGAAGCCTAGAGGAAGCCATCTGCCCAGATGGCTCCTGGGCAAGATTTGGGATCACAGTGGAATCGAGAATGGGGTTGCCCAGGAGCGAATTCCCTACTTATAAAGGCATTGTGTACCAAAGGGTTAATCTCCATCTTCAAAAAGGCAAGTCCCATAAAATGGTGCCCTCTTTGAATCTGTCCATGAGTGGAAGTGGAACAGCAGGAACTCACCTGTGGAAAACTGCACAGCAGCTCTTATTTCACACCAAACACAAAAATAAAATCATGGACCTAATGCAGAAGTAGCAACTTTAAAACTTCTTGAAGTGAACACCAAAGAGCATCTTCACAACAATGGGATAAGCAAAGATTTCTCAGGTAAGACACAAAAAAACAGAAATCATAAAAGAATGCTTTGAAAGGCAAAGTTTAACAAAAATTTTGAATGTTTGTTCTTTGAAAGACAAGCTGTTTTCCAGAGGAGCTGCACCATGGACAACCTGCCCAGCAATGGATGTGTGATCTAGTTTCTCTGCATCCTCACCGCCCTTTGAGTGTTCACTGTGAAGTGTGCAGTGATAGCTGTGCAGGGATGGCTCATTGTGGTTATTTGCATTTCCCTAACAGGTGATGATGTGCTTCTTTACTGTCCATATATGCTCCCCAGTGACACGTCTATTCATCTCTTCTGCCCATTTTCGGCTTGATTTGTTTTTTTTTCTTTACTGCGGGTTTTGAGAGTTCTTTGTATATTCTAGATTCTAGCCATGTATCAGATTTGTGGCTTGCAGGTATTTTCTCATAGACTCTAGTTGGCCTATAGCTTCTTCCCCGGGGGTTTTCACAGAGCAAGTTGTAAATTTAGGAGGCAAGTTTATCAAGTTTTTTCTTTCATGGATTGTGCATCTGTTTTCAAGTCTAAAAACTCTGCGTTTATGGGGCCTCCCCGGTGGCGCAGCGGTTGAGCGCTGGGTTGCGAAGCTGCCCGCAGCCTCTGCGGCGATGGTTCGATTCCCGGCTGCTTCCCGGCCACCGGTGGAGGGTCCCACATGGCGCGCAGACCGCTCCTGCCGCCCGCTGCTCCCCTCAGCAGTGTACCTCGGTCCTTCTGCCTGCTCTGCTCCCCGCTCTGGCTCTGGTGAATTCTCTCACCCTCCCGTGCTGCTGACTGTACCCAGTGCTTGTATGTATAAATACATAATAAATAAATCTTAAAATAAATAAATAAATAAAAATAAATAAAATAAAAACTCTGCGTTTAGCCCTAGATTTTGAACAAAAATTGTCTCCTTTCCCCTCCCTCCTAACATTTGTGATTTTACATTTTACAGTTGAGTTGATGGTCCAGTTTGAGTTAAATTTTTGTGCAGGATATGAAATTTAAGTTGAAATTTTTTTTTTTCCCTACACAGGTCCATTTGCTCTAGCACCAATACTTGAAAAGATCAAATCCTTCTTCCACTGATTTGCTTTTGTACTGTACTTGAGACTCTCCAAAGTGTGCATCTGTTTCCAGGATCTTGTCTCTCTCTTCCACTAGCACCAATGTCTCCATCACTGCAGCTCCATGGTAACTGCTGATAATGAGTAGGGATTCCTCCTAACTTAGAAGAGGATTGTTTCAGCTACTTGGGGGAAAGTGCCTTTCCATATGCATTTTAGAATAAGCTTGTCTATGTCTACAAGAAAAATTAACTAGAATTTTGATAGAAATCGCATCAAACCCAAAGATCAGTTTGGGGAGAAATAACATGTTTACTACGTAGAATTTTCATGAACATGGTACAGCTTTCCAAGTACTTGTACTTGGTTTCTTTATCAACATTTTTGTGACTATCACAAATCTTGTTCATGTTTTGCTCATAGGTGTGTACCTGAGTATTTCATTTCCTGTTGACAGTCATAAATGGCCTTGTATATGTTGTATGTGCTCACTTGCTGGCTGTCTAACTTGACATATCTTTCCAATACCAAGAATATTAATGTGACTTACAAAACAGTTAGAATGACATTGACCTTTGTATTGCAAGATAAAATCACCTTATTTATTTTTAATAATATTTTTCATTTTATATATTTTTTACATCATTTTTCATTTTTGCACAATGTATGCATTTTCATCTTGGTTATAGTCCCCATACAATTCCCACCCCCCTTGTTCTGATCCTACCCCTTTTGTCCCCCCGTGCCCTGCGCCCCCCCCTCCGCCCCTGTAGTATCTCTGGTTTATAGTTGCCTGCTGCTTTTGATTTTTACTTTCTTATACTTAGTCTTTTTCCTGGTCCCTTATTTAGGTTTTCTAAATTCCTGCTATGAGTGAGACCATCCGGTATTTTTCTTTTTCTTTCTGGCTTATTTCGCTGAGCATGATCCCTTCCAGCTCCATCCATGTTGCTGCAAATTGACTGCTGAATAATACTCCATTGTGTATATGTACCACATCTTCTTGGTCCAGTCATCTATTTTGGGGCATTTGGGTTGTTTCCAAGGCTTACCTATTTTGTAAATAGTGCTGCTATAAACATAGGGGTGCAGGTGCCCTTTTGAATTAATGTTTGTGTCCTTTGGGTAAATACCTAGGAGTGGAATTGCTGGATCATATGGAAGCTCCTCCTTCAGTAGATTAAGGAATCTCCACACAGCTCTTCATAGTGGTTAGACCAGTTTGCACTCTCACCAGCAGTGCAGGAGAGTTCCTTTTTCTCCACAACCTCACCAACATTTATTGTTGCTAGTTTTTTCAATATGTGCCATTTTTTTAACATGTGTAAGATGGTATCCCATTGTAGTTTTGATTTGCATTTCCCTGATTACAAGTGATGTTGAATATTTTTCATATGCTTGTTGGCCATTTACATTTCCTCTTTGGAGAAGTTTCTTTTTAGCTCTTCTGCCCATTTTTTTTTTTTTTTTTTTTTTTTTTTTTTTTTTTAGAGGCATGCTTTATTTATTTGTTTGCTGGTTTGTTTTGTTTTTGTTTTGTTTATACATGCACTGGGTACAGTCAGAAGCGCGGGAGGGCGAGAGAATTCACCAGAGTCAGAGCGGGGAGCAGAGCAGGCAGAAGGACCGAAGTACACTGCTGAGGGGAGCAGCGGGTGGCAGGAGAGGTCTGCGCGCCATGTGGGACCCTCCTCTGGTGGCCGGGGAGCAGCCGGGGATCGAACCGGCGCCGCAGAGGCCGCGGGCAGCTTCGCAACCCAGCGCTCAACCGCTGCGCCACCGGGGAGGCCCTCTTCTGCCCATTTTTTGACTGGGTTGTTTACTTTGTTTTTGTTGAGTCTCACCAGTTCTTTGTAGATTTTTGAGATCAGTCCTTTATCATTAGTGTTGTGTGCAAAATTTTTCTCCCAATCCATGGGTGTCTCTGTGTTTTGGTTACTGTCTCTTTTGCTCTTTAATTTGACGTAGTCCCAGCTGTTAATCTTTGCCTTCACTATCACTGCTTTGGGTGATGTGTCTTTAAAAATGTTACTGAGGTGAATGTCATGTAGTGTTTCGCCTATATTTCCTTCTATATATTTTATGGTTTCAGGTCTTATGTCTAGTTCTTTAATCCATTTTGAGTTGGTTTTTGTTCATGTTGTGAGGTAGTAGTCAAGCTTCATTCTTTTGCATGTAGGGACCCAGTTTTCCCAGCACCATAAAACCACCTTATTATACAAAGCTTCACGATAAGTTACTCTAACCCCAGCACTTCATTCACATGTAGCTTTTAGCTGTAGACCAATGCGTACACTGAGGATATGTGATTTTTTGTTCTGCTCTTGTGCAGCTGGTTATGTGTAGTCCAAAATGAATTTCCCTGGTTGGGCTGCTATGAAAAAACAGGTATTAAAAAGGCAGATGATGTTTCAAAGGATATGCTGCAAAGTGACCAAGCTCTCAGGCCCAGTCAGCAACTATGTGGTTAGAGGTGGTTCCTGGATCTTTATAATCCTCGCTGACATTTTCTCACACTCACAATTCATTAGTTATAATAAGAAACTGAATAACGCATTAAAATATCTGCTGAATTTACCAAATAAAGTCCTTATATTTCCTGATTTTTTAAAACTCCCTGGTGGTGCAGGCAGTTGAGCGCCTCACTGTGAAGCTGTTCGCAGCCTCTGCAGTGTGGGTTTGATCCTTGCCGGCTGGCAAGAATCTGTGAAAACAGACCTCTCCTGTCTCACTCACTGCTCCCCTCAGCAGTGTATTTCTTCAGTCTGCCTGTTCTGTTCCCCGCTCTGTCTCTGGTGAATCCTCTCACCCTCCTGCACATCTGGTCTGTACCCTGGTTCTTGTATAAAAATAAATCTTTTTTTTTTTTTTTTAAAGATTTATTTATTTATTTATACAAGCACCAGGTACAGTCAGAAGCGTGGGAGGATGAGAGAATTCACCAGAGCCAGAGCAGAGAGCAGAAGAGACAGACTGACAAAACACACTGCTGAGGGGAGCAGCGGGCAGCAGGAGAGGTCTGCGCACCATGTGGGACCCTCACCCGGTGGTCGGGGATCGAACCAGCGCTGCAGAGGCTGTGGGCAGCTTCGCAACCTAGCGCTCAACCGCTGCGCCACCAGGGAGGCCCCATAAAAATAAATCTTTAAAAAAAACCCCTTTATCTTTTTCTTTTATTGTAATGTCTCAGAAAGACAAGCAGACAATCTTCATAAGGGGAAAAAAAGACTGCGCCCTCCACCCTCACCCAGTCAGCAAAAGCAAAGCCAAACCTTTTGAGCTGGAGCACACTTCGGGCACTGGCACAGGGGGTGACAAAATTCAAGATCTGTTGCACTGACTGAGTCTTCCATGTCATCCAGGTCCTCTTCTGTCCACTCCAACAGGTAACGCACCTGGTGGTGGACAAAAGGAAATAGAAATTCAAAACTCATCCTCAGCATCTTTATAAGCCATAGAACTTTAAACATGAGTGTACACACACACACACAACCTGCTCCTAAATCAGGGCTCACACTTCCTCAACCTCCGCTGTACTTTTGGAAAAGACTGAAGCTCCCTCACAAAGATTCCAGGGTTTACCTGTGCTCCAGCCTTTCTGAAGCCTCTTCCTGGGTTCAGAGGCTAAGTCGTCATTTCTGTAGCTCAGGTTAAAAATTCTTCTCTATTCTTAAAAAGGGACAAGCAGGTGCTGCTTCGGGGTGCAGCTTTAAAACCCCAGCCCTGGAGCACTTAGTGAGAACCTCCTCTTCTTGTCTAACTGCAGTTTCAACAGCAGTCCCTTCCTCCCTCCCTGGGAGGAGCCAACAGCTTGCTCAAAGCCAAACTAGTAAGTGGTGGTGAGAGACCACCTCACCTGTGAGAACGGCCCAACCAAAAAAACAAAAACAAAAACAAAAAAACAAGTGTTGGTAAGAATGTGGAGAAAAAGGAACTCTGTATCTGTACACTGTTGGTGGGCGATGTGGACTGGTCCAGTCTCTATGGAAAACAGTATGGAGGCTTCTCAAAAGATCCAGGATACAGGGGCCTCCCTGGCGACGCAGTGGGTTGAGTGCAGTGCTGTGAAGCTGTCCGCAGTCTCTGCGGCATCGGTTCGATTCCCAGCCAGCCAGGGAGATTCCCATGTGACGCAGCAGACCTCTCCTGTCTCGCCCACTGCTCCCCTCAGCAGTGTACTTCAGTCCTTCTGCCTGTTCTGCTCCCTGCTCTGTCTCTGCTGAATTCTCTCACCCTCCGGTGCTTCTAGCCTGTACCCCAGTGTTTGTATAGATAAATCTTAAAAAAAAAAATCCAGGATAGAACTATGGTGCAACCCAGTGACCACCTCTCCTCAGTGTGTCTACCTGAAGAACACTGAACACTACCTTGAAGGGATACATGCAGTCCTGCGTTCACTGCAGCACCATTTCCAACAGCCAAGTTATAGAAGCAACCTCAGAGCCTGAGGACAGATGAGGGCGTCAGGAAGACACAGAACATTTACACAGCAGAATCCTCCTCAGCTATGAGGAAAGGACTAACATATCTGTGACAACATGGATGGAACTAGGCCATTATACTCAGCGAAATAAGTCAGAAGGAGAAAGACAAATACTGAATAGTGTCACATACATGTGGAATACAGAGAAATAAAACAAAGAGTCAGATAAAACCAAACCAGTAACAAACCCCAGAAACCTGACTGTATAACTGAGGATCCAACATGGGGAGGAGGCAGGAGAGGATGGAGTGGGGATGGGGGACAACGGCCTATGGTGAGGGTGCGGGGGCCTTGGTGGTAGTGGGGTGTGGTGACATACACCTGAAGGGTGTGATGAGTCATAGGCCATGTTGTTAACGGATGTTACCACAACAAAAAATAAATAAATAAAAGGTGGGGGGGTTGCAGGCTCTGACTCTGCACCAGCATCCTCCCCAAGAGGATGTCCCAGGCAACCAGCAAAAACACTGGCAAGACCCCTGAACAGGTCAAATTAGTGTTCCAGTAAAGACTAGTTTCTAAGCTATTAAATTTGAGCAAAGAAAATAATATAAACACATTTCTAGACCGGCTTCGAAGCACCGAGGAAGTCAGCAAATGCCAGCAAAGGGTTCCAGGAAGGTCCCCCTACCCCAAGTCCCTTCCAAATCTCCCAAGAACAGGGTGGGGCCCCCCTGATGAGCAGGATGGGCGAATGAAGGGCAAGTCCTCTTGGCGAGGAAAGAACAAGAACGAGGGTCAGTCAGAAGCCGAGGGCAGGTGGCCAACAGGGGCAGGAGGGGCCTCTTGTATAGGCTAGTTTGGATGGTGACCCCAGGTGCACCTCTGCATGAACGGCCTCAACCCCCTTGTCTGCCCACAGAAGGAAGAGTGAGTATGTCATGACGGGACAATCGTTAACGTCCCCATGCAGGCTCTGCCCTGACGTGGAGCCCATGCCCTGCCTCCAGAGGAACCAGGTGTCCGTCTGAGGGGCAAGGAGTGGCCCTGGGCAAAGGGTGCTCTGCTGACAACTACATTTGGGTTCTGACTATTCCAGAATTTCTGTCCAACTCAAACAGTGAAAAGCGCTCTTACAACACACAACTGTGATGCTCTCTTACAACATGTTCTGTTCAGCGCTCCTAACTGGGAAAGCTCCTAATTCACTCCTCCTTTCCTGGGGAGCCCAACCATGGAAACTACTGAGGCTGCTTCCACTCTCAAGCGATCGCATCAAGGGTGTTCCCTGTGCCCCAACAGTGGGGGTCAGGACAGACCACTTCCCTCCAGCCAGACATCCTTGCCCCTGCCCCCCGAGAGCAGCCAGCACCATCTCCCCTGGACCCTTCCCTGTCCTAACACCTCCTTGGAGTCAACCTGACCGGGGTCACAGCCGTCCACGGAGTCTGCAGGGCCACACTAATGTCCCCTCTTCCCCCCCCCAACAGAGTCCTCTCACCACACTACCCACTAGTATTGAGCCCACACTCTGCTCCTGGACATGGGCATGCTTCCTGCAGGCGCCTCACCCCTCCTGGAATAGGAGACTCCAAGAGGTGTGACGTGGTGGCCACCTGCTTTGTTACCTGTCAGGGAGGCATAACACTGCCATTACCCAGTGTGTAATAATGCACCTCCACGTGCTGGTGAACAAAGCCTCCACATGGGCTCTATGTGAGCTGGAGGCAGAAAACACAGGAACAGCTGTTTAAACCAAGAGAGCTTTTTAAAAAGCACGTCCAAACACTCACCATTTCCAGATCTCCATCAGCTACTGCTCTTAAAAGTTTTTCTACCTTAACAAAAGAAACAAGAATGTTAGGAAAATGATTTTAAAAATAAAATTATAACAAATCATAAAAGCAACTGTTCGTTCATCCTGACTAGTGGAGCTTTGACATTTAAACCCAATCAGTGTCTCATGCACCCCTATAACTGCTCAGACGGGACTCCCAGGAGTAGGCAGTGTGCACTGACCCGTCACCAAGGCAGGTCTTTAAAAATGACACTGCCTTTTATGTGGCCAGGATGTCACCATGAAGCACAGCTTCCTACGAGGCCAGCCACCCATCAGAACCACACACAATCAATATCCGTTACCCCCATCTGAGGGGGCGCATGCTCCAAGACAGGCCCCAGGTCTCAGCCTTTGGAGCTTGTCTCTAGGTTTTCTTTGCTGTGGTTTCACATCAAGCTAAGTTTATGGGGCCTCAAGGAGCAGGTCAGTGCTTGAGGTGACAGGGGAGGAGGGGGCACTGGACGGAGCCAGGGAGGGTTCCCACTCATGGGGGCACAGGTAAAAGATGTGTGTGTGCAAAACCACGTCACAAATTAGCTTCTCCAAAAGGCAATGTGTGTGTGTGTGTGTGTGCATTTAAATGTCTAATAAAATTTTGCAAGAAGAAAGAAACGACCCACATCAAGTTAACAGGGTGGTTATGGAGCAGGCAACAGTGGGCAGAGGGTTTACTTTGTAAAATTACCTTAATTTGGAGTACTTATAACTTACAGGTGGTTTGGCTTTTACTTTGAATATTCTCTCTCTCTCTCTCTCTCTCTCGCGTGTGTTGCGCGCGCACACACAAGCCACAAAGCAAAGAGCCGCTTAGGGAAGGCCATGAAGGGCAGGCGCCGGGCTCTTTCCCAGGCACTGACATCCACCACAGAGGGCGTGGCTGTCCAGCGTGGTTAGGCCAGGCCTCTTTAATTGGCAGCCACGACACAGGTCTACCCTGCCCTCCCACCTCAGAGCCTCACTTCTTTGTAGTCCTTTCTGGGCTCCTCTTGTCTGGAGCTGGCGGATGTGGAGGAGAAGCTGGAGGTGGAGGACCCTTGACTGATAGAATCCACAGAACGCTGAGGGGGCAGCACAGGGACCTGTGGCAAGGTCCCAACGAGAGAGGAGACAGAAGAGGGTCAGAGATTTGTCCCTGGGCTCGGAGAGAGGCAACAAACCAGCCCTGTCGACTCACCTCTGAGGACTTCTGCCTCCTCTCCATGGACAGGTGACTGGCTTCCATTATAGACAGAATCTAGGATGAAGGGACATGAAAATACTGAATAAGATGGGTCATCAAAGCATTGTCACCCATAACACCCTGTCCATCTCCTTAGAAGGTCACGTCACCCAGTCATGCCCCTTGAGAGACAGAGGTCAAGGCTGGGAGCAAGTGGAGACTTACTGGGGATCACAATGATAAAGTCTGGGCTGCCTTCTACCATACCTGCTCCTGCTGTCTGAGCTCAGAGAGGCCTGGGAGCAGCGGGGCCTCTGAGGGCAACTCTCCCACTGGCATCCAGGACCTCAGGCGGGAGCAGCTCAGGTCCACGCCCAGAAGGCAGTCTCTCTTCTAGCCGATCTCCCTTTTCAAGGGGTTTTGGTAGAAGCTACAGTGGCTGAGGAGCCATTACCTCCTCATGGGCATCTCCCGGCAAAGGGCGGCACCACCCAGTCCTGTGAGCCTGGCTGCTGCAGAGCCAAGACCTCGCTGAAGGTATAGGCAGTACAGCCGAGGCCCCTGTTGTCAGGTGCATAGACCCACTTCAAAAACTGCTTCTGTGGGCCTTATGTTAAATTCTACACACACACACACACCCTGTAATAAGAGGGTGGGAGGGAACTTTCAGAGGTGGAAGACATTTTTCTGGCACAGATGGGGCTGATGGTCTCGTGGGCATGCAGATCTCTCCAGACTCCTCCAGCATTCAGCACACACAGCTTCCTGTGTGTCAGGCTCAGTACAGTGGTTTTAAAAATCAACAGAAAGTGTGCTGCTCTAGCAAGAACAAGCTAAAAGAATGACCCAGAAGAGAGCTAGAGATTGTGGACGGGTTTAAGACATCTGGAGGCCAGCACTGAACAAGGATGGTTTATGTGAGCCACAAGGGGGAGATGCTCTGACCCTGGGCATCCACTGCCCATGACTTATGCTGCCACTGTGCTTCACACACTCAAAAACACTTCTTTGAGGGTAGCTGATGAACCAGAGCTGCTGCTGGGAGATAGGGCAGGAGGAACCAGCCATGGCACGTCCCTGGCTCCCCACCCCCTGAAGAAGTGAGCACTTTCACCACATGGTGCCAAAAACTATTTCCAGAAATTACTTATTACTTCATTAACAAGTCACTTATGAAAGAAACAACGGCCAATGAAGCTCAACATTGGCCAAATGAGAATAGGTTTTTAGGAGCCTGGGAGGAAGTAATAGGAAACTGGTGCCCAGCACACCGGTGCCATCCCCTCTGCTGGCCGCTCTCAGTCAGAGACACTGTCCGTCTCCACCCCTCCATTTGCTCACAAACCAAGAGCGGGGGCGGGGGCAACTCTGCTGGGAATTTCAGTAAAACCAAAAATAACATAAATAAGTCAAGCCCATTAACAGCCAGGCCCCAAATGCAGCAGAGAGGGAGCAGGCCAAGTTCCGTTGTCAGGCACTAATGCACAGCTGCCTGGCACTGCCAAGACCCAAGCTGTGCACATTAATTTTTTTTTAAAGTCATACTGCTGCAATCAGATGAAAAAGCTACCTTTGAGTTTAACGCGCACTTGAGGGGCGTTTCTTTCAGTCGGTTCTGGATGTCTGTGGGTGCTCCATTTTGCAGCAACGTCTCTATGATGCCTTGATACCCCCACCGTGCAGCTATGTGAAGGGGGGTGTCTCCTTTCTCGTTACCCATGTCTAGTCGGCACGACTGCACGTCATAGTAGACCAACGCCTTCACACACTGCAAAGGAAATGGGAAGTCCTGAGCCGCATGCCCCATGGCCTCCATCATGCCCCCACTCAACTGTGGCTCTGTTCCCCAAGCCAATATGCAGTCAGTCGGACCTCAAGACTCAAGGTTACCTGGCCAGGACACATAGTGTTTGCAGAAGAACCCCAGTGCCAATCAATGAGAAAAGGTGGAATGAAATTGTGATGGAATTGTGTGCAGGAGCCTGCACAGTGGAACCGGGGCTGCCCTTCCTGAAGGCCCCTCATGCAGCTGGTCTTCTTGACACCTACTGTCCTTGGGCAATTGGATTTGGGGAGTGTTCCCCTCGTCCTCTAGTGACACTGATAAGGTGGCTCACTTGCCTAAACTCTTTGTACAACAACGAGGTTTATGTGAAAACCTGCTCTCCTGCGGAAGTCTGGGACTGTGGCACATGCCAGACACAGGTGTGGTGTGACCATCCTCCTCTAAGAATCTTGGGCCCTGTGTCCCTAACGACTCCCTAACTGCCAAGGGAATTAGCATGTTCCATCTGTCTCACGGGGAAAGGACTCCTTGAAGCTTGTGCCTGGTTTCCTCTGGCTCAAATGTGCCCTTCTGCTGTGAATCCTTTCACTGTAGTAAATTGGAGCCATGAGTGCACCCACATGCAGTGTCCTGGGAGCCCCCAGGCGAATAAGTAAGCCAAGGGTGGCCTCAGGGATGCTGAAATAACACAAAAAAAATAGATTACCAGGTAGCTATTAAAACTGGGCTAGATTGGGCCTCCCTGGTGGCGTACGGGTTAAGTCTCTGCGCTATCACACTATCACTGGTACGGCCTGAATTCGATCCCCGGCCAGGAAGCTACCCACATGGTGCAGCAGACCTCTCCTGTCTCACCCGCTGCTCTCCTCAGCAGTGTATTTCAGTAGATCTGCCTCTTCTGCTCCCCACTCTGTCTCTGGTGAATCCTCTCATCCCCTGCACCTCTGGCCTACACCCTTATTCTTCTATGCATAAATAAATAAATCTTTAAAAAAATGGGCTAGATCTACATTTACTAACCTAGAGGATTTCTGTGATGGACTGTTAGGTTAGGAAAGCTAGTTGCATAAAAATATATATGATGTGACCCCCATGTCTGCATATCAACCATGAGCCCAGCCTCCACCCCTGGCATATACAAACCTACCTACCTATATTATGAACAGAAGGGAGAAGAGAACATGGTGAGGGGAAAATATAACATGCAGCACACACATGCACGATTAAATACGATGTGAAAAATAGGAATTACATAATTCCTTGGTATTATGAAAGTGCAAAAACAGAGCATGTACAAAGGTGAGAACCAGGTGGTAGCAGTTAGCAGTGATAAATGAAAATATTGAATTTTAGGATATTGGGTGATTAGTTTTCAGTGTCTGTTCTTTCTATATAGCATCTGCAATAAGTTTCAAATTTTTTAAATTGAAACTATTCTAGGCCAATTGTTCCATCAATTACCAACAAACATATATTAAACTCGCTGGGGACCCACACGTTCCACGAGCAAGGAAGGGTAAAACCGCGCAGGGGATGGCAGGCGCCACTCACATCCTCATGTCCGTAGGTGCAGGCCAGGTGCAGCGGGGTGTTGCCGTTGTTATCTGGCACCTGGGTGCCCGCCTTGTAGTGCAGTAGCAGCAGCTTCCAAGGGAGAAAGAGAGAGAGAGGGGGGTGGGGGAGAGAGGTGAACTCCCACAAACCCTGCAGCACAGGCACGAGCTTCCCCAGAAGCGGGGCCTGGAGGAGTCTTATGGGGGTGGGAGGGGACATCTCTTTCATTTTCACTCATATTCTCCTAGAGTGAAAAGAATATCACCACTCTCATCCTTCCTTTACAAAAAGGTTAGCGATTTAAAAGTCCACAACCCCACCCTTCTCCCCCAAAGTTATGGGGCCATTTCAAATCTAGACCTGGTAGTCTATCAAGTGGACCCACAGGGAGGGGCCCTGGACACCGCCCCTCCTGAGCCATTGTGGGGATAGTGGGATGGAGCTCTAGGTTAGCACACCCGTAAAGGCAGAAGATGGAGGTGACTCACCCAAGGACCCGAGTGGGGATGGCGCTCACTTACCGTCACGCTCTGGTAACCCTTCTGACACGCGAGGTGGAGTGGTGTCGACCCGTGATAGTCCGTGGCGTTCACCACCGCGCCTTTGGAGACTAGCAGGTCAATGAGGGATGCCTGTCCTACAGAACAGAAGGACTTCACAACAGAGAAGGGGAGGGAAGGGGCTTTCCAAACCCCAAAGGCGAGGCTGCCTTGTTTTTGTTGCTTAATCTCTAGACATGAGACACACTTGCAGCAGTTTTCTGAATGAGAGGGCCCAGAGCTAACATCAAGTCACCGGTTCAGAGTACTGCGGGCAGCCCGTGGAGGGACCTGGATCCAGTCCACCTCAGCAAGGTAGAAAAGAGCTTTAGACCGTGACAGAGCATTCCATTGTTTCATCAATTTGTAAGACAGAATAGCATGCAACCATTAAAAAATATGGATGAGGGGCTCTTGGTGGCACAGGGGTTTAAGTCTTGTACCATTAAGCTATTGCCAGCCACTGTGGCCTGGGTTCAACCCTCTTCCTGGGCCAGGGAGCTGACCCACATGACTGACCCACACTATCACTGCTACGGCCTGTGTTCAATCCCCGGCCAGGGAGCTGACCCACATGGCGCAGCAGGCCTCTCCTGTCTCGCCCACTGCTCCCCTCAGCAGTGGATTTCAGTAGATCCGCCTGTTCTGCTCCCCACTCTGTCTCTGGTGAATCTTCTTACCCCCACCCCACATCTCTGGCCTACCCCAGTTCTTGTATGCATGAACAAATAAAAATAAATCTTTAAAAAAAAATAAATATGAGAGGCCTCCCCGGTGGTGCAGTGGGTTGAGCGCTGCGCTGTGAAGCTGTCCGCAGCCTCTGCACCGGGGGTTTGATTCCCAGCTGGCCAGGGAGAAACCCACATGGCATGGCAAATTGCCTTGCCGCTGCTCCCCTCAGCAGTGTCTTTGGTCCGTCTGCCTGTTCTGCTCCCCGTGCTCTTTGGTGAATTCTCTCAGCCTCCCAAGCATCTGACCTGTACCCCTGTTCTTGTATAAATACATGAATCTTTAAAAAAAAAAAATACAGATGAGAAGAAATGTTATATATTGCCCAGTGAAAAACACATAGTACATAATAGTGTGAGCCCTACAGTAACATATATTTTATGTTCACACACATGCACAGCATGTGGAAATTCCAGACACATCTGAGTCTAAACTATCTCTGGGAGACAGAAGGATGGCAGGTGATACTGGAGAAGGTAGTTTTCTATTTTGAATGTGCACTTCAAAACACAGTGAAGTTCTTTTGTAGAAACAGGACTGTTAAGAATCCCAATTCACACACCACTCTCACATCTCAGGTTGAGCCCTCCCTGGCTGGACTGCGTGCCGGGCAGTGCCGACGCCGGGTGGTGAGAGCAGGAATATGTGCTCATCCAGGGGAGCAGTCGGGGAGGCCTGAGAAACGCTTGCTGCTCTGCTCTTCCAGAGAAGCCCGTGGGGTGTCCCCCCACCACCCCAACTCCACTGGCCCCAGTCAGACAGGCCCCCACTGGGCTGCCCTTGGCTCCATTCCTTTGCTGTGACAGCCCACCGAGGCCAACCCCAGACCACATACCACAGAGGGCAGCCACATGGAGCGGTGTATGACCCCGGTCATCTCTGGAGAATGGAGTGACAATCGAGGGGTCATTCAACCTCCTATGAGAGAAAAGACACAGAAAAATGTACCCAGAGAACAGCACGGCAGAGCTGCGGGGACCAAGGGTAGGTCAGTACGGGGTGTGGGCCAAGCCAGGCCACTCAATGCCTGGAGGTCATCCAGGCCCTGTTCCATCTCCCGGGGGAGTGACTGAGACCTCTACTTCCAGCTTATTCCCTGACAGACATACTAGCAGGCATTTTTCAGCGTGAGGGGTCCCGCGTCCTGCTCCACCCCTGGAGGCCTTGACACCAGCAAAGCAGCAGGAGAAGGTCAAGGGGAGACCAAATGGCTGCTGGGCAGAGCTGGCTGTCCTCCTCCTCCATCCGAACACCTCTGAGGCTAAGGCAGGCCCTCTACCCTCCTACAGCCAGTGGTGCGACCAGGATTTTTACCACCTTCCTCCCACCCACCTTCTGCACAGAGGTTACTGTTTTACTTTACAGCATAGGAAGCTGAGTACGGTGAGGAAAGTTCCTTATTCAGAATCTCCTGGCAGACGAGAGGAGAGGCCTGGCCTAGGGCCTAGTCTCCCACTTCCCAGCACAGACAACACGGGCCTTTCTTACCCAGAGACCAGCTTCTCGCAGTCGTCACAGAAGCACAGAGGGTGGCACATCTTCTGGACAGCATCTCTGTCTTGCTCTCCTTGGCTCAGAAGTCTTTCCACTTCCTTCTGGTTGCCTGATGCAATGTGCTGAGGAGACAGACGCCAAGGGTACAATCAATGTGAAGGAATTACTTGCTTTTTACAAGGTGTGAGCTTTTGAGCGTCCACAGAGATGGATCTGTGTATGTCTCAATGGAATGAATCGCTCTCTGGGGTTTGTTTTGATTAATCCAGTTGGATGGGGTGGGGTAGCGATGAAACAAGATCTAGAGATTGCTACCTGGGGCTTCCTTCATTACATTGACTATTTTTGTAAATGTCAGAATGTTTCCATACTTAGAAAAACAACATGACAAAATTCCCAGAGCAGCAGCTGGAGGAGGGGCAATACATTCTGAACCCCAGTGTGGTTTTGACACCTCACTAGAACAAGCCTCAGCCCCACCCTGTCATATTCTAGCAGTCTTGGTTGGGAAACAGCTGCAGTTAGCAGGAGACTCCATCAACAAGCCAACCTGAAGGGCCCATTCCCTATGGTTCCTGGATGTGCTCCCCTCAGGGAATGAGATTCTGTTTTGGGGAGCACATCATCCAGGAAGGCTCTCTGTGGACCCCACTACAGCTGGGGGAGCCTGCATCACCAGGTCTCCCAGGAGCCCCGTCTTCTCCCAGCCCCACAAGTCACCTCGCTGGCCTCCAGCAGTGGGTCAGGTCTGAGTGGGGAGCTCACATGTGTGGTCCTCCATGAAACCACAGCCAGCACTGCGCCCCAACCCAGTGTACACTGACGCCCCAGTGACACGGGGCTTCTGGAGTCGGGGGAGGCCCAGCTCTGGCCTCTCAGCTGGCCCCAAAAGACATGCCGAATTTTTACAAGTGGACAGAAGATGGCCCAGCCGGAGGGTTCTGTGTCTAGTGCCCCTGGTGTGCATCCAGTGCAGCGACTACCCAGCACACGCTGGGGAGGTGGGCGGACGTGCCAGTGCCCACCATGACACCTTAGAGCACCCCACCGTGAACTCTGACTGAGCAGATGAAGGTCAGTGCACCTTTCACAGACCACCCTGTGGGAGCCCAGAGGCTCCGAGGAGGGGGTGCCCTCACACACCTGTGTCCACAGACTTCTTGGGATCCTACCTTGAAAAGGCAGTCGATGGGTGTGGACGTCATCTGAGACAGTAAACTCATCCTCTGCTTAAGTACCAGTCTGTCGCCCAGCCCCTCAGACTCCTGCAGGGAAAAGGAGCAATCTGTTTTGTCACAAGAGATGTCAGCGCGGGTCCTGTAAAACAGAGACTCCAGGAACCATCCTTGCCACTTCCCCAGAGCAGTGTCAGCAGTGCCCCCCACTCTCACTGGGCTGAGAGCAGCCCCTCGGCAGGCTGGGGGAGTTCTCATCTGTCCCTCCGGGATGCGGAAGCTCTGCTGCTAGGGCCCAGGAAGCAGCAACACCCTGGCCATGAGTGTGTGGACTGTGTCACCACTGAGTGTAGAATGTAGCATCACACTCCAAATGGGAGCCCCAGTACCCTGGCCGCCTCCTCTCTGCAGACTCCTATCCTGATTCTGACACACCATTCCCTGCCATTTTCTCTGGGCCTACCGACAGGAAAATCACTTGATGGCCTGGTCTATATTTCCCATTGTCACCTAACAGGAGAGAAGGGTTCTGGCTTTTTGAACAAACTTAATAAAACATCAAACTGGTCCAAAGTCCAATTAAGATACTGGGGTCCAGGGCCTCCCTCGTGGTGCAGAGGTTAAAGACACAGCGCTATCAAGCTATTGCCAGCCACTGCAGCACGAGTTCAATCGCCCGCCAGGAAGCTGACCCACATGGCACAGCAGACCTCTCCTGTCTCGCCCGCTGCTCCCCTCAGCAGTGGATTTCAGTGGATCCAACTGTTCTGCTCCCCACTCTGTCTCTGGTGAATTCCCTCAACCCCCACACCTCTGGTCTACACCCCAGTTCTTGTATACATAAAATAAACAAATATTTTTTTAAAAAAAAAGATACTGAGGTCCAGTCCTAACAAGCCTGTCCTTTTAAAAAAGGAAAAAAAGGGAAAAAAAAAAGATACGGCAGGTAATGTTTACCTTGCTAGAAATACCTAGAGTTCTAGCCTTACTTTACAAAATTATTTCAATGTTCACTTGGGCACCTGCAATTAATCTGCCTAAGGACAAATTAATTTCCTCAGGAAAGAATCTTGGTGGGAGGTAAAGGAATTTTTCCCAGTCAGCTGCTGCCAAAAGAACTCAGCAAACCCTGCCAGGGCTGTGAGACAGGGTTCCTTTCTTCAACTCCGGCTTAATGGTCCACCAAAGATAGAGGTGGGGTCCTCTGTGCAGCACACCAGCTGCCCTGAAAGGGTTAACTTGGCTAACAAACTCCAACATCTCATAGTGAGGGCCATTTTTGATCCCAGCTGCTATGTGCTATAAATAGCTCTAACGACCTGTTTTTCTCAGAGACTATAGAGAAGCCGCTTAGGGTCAGAGAAAGGACAGAGACATTGTTGTCAGGTGAGGTGGGGGCTCTTAGCTCGGGCTACTTGAAGGACCAATGAAGACTGGCAGATGTCCCAGGACTGACTCCTCAGGGAAGAAGGAACTACAGGAGAGACAGCGCGTTGGCTAAGTCCTGTGTGGGAAAGGGGTGACGGTAGTGGAAGCCCCATAAAGTGAGAAAGACCAGAAGCCTGCTAAGTGGGAGCAGAGAAGGTACAGATTCTTTTAGGGTGGTCCCCACAGGCTGGTTTTTGTTTTGTTTGTTTTGGCCCTCATTATAAAACTAGAGTCACCCCAGTAGTGTTTATTTTCAAAAGGTGAACGTCTTCACTTACGAAAATGCCTAACAAGCATTGACGGTCATCTCAAGTTTGACTACACCTTCAGCAGCAAGTGTCTTTGAAACTACATTATGTGATGTAAAAAAAATCTACAGTAAAATATAACTTGTTTAGAGATAAACAAAAAATTAAAAAAAAAAAAGTCAAACATGATTTGATGATGACTATTTAGCCGTTAAAGCTTTCCATGGAGACACTCTTGGGCAGCAGCTTCGCAAGTTCCTAGCTGGAACTGCCTTCTGAAAAGAAACTAGCTTGCGGCTCAGGCAAAGACATCACTGCAGACAGAATCCCAACCCAGAAGACAAGGAAGCCACAGAGCTGTTCCATCAATAAAGTGTGAGACCACCTCTCAGACCTGACCGCTAGAGACCCAAGGGACAGGCAGCCCAGCCACCCAGAGGCGGATACACACCTTGCCCCAAGGGCTGATGGGCCAACCACCTCCCATCAGGCAGAAGGACCAACACGCCTGCCAAGGACACACTGGGTAGTGTCCCTCCCTGGCCACCCAAGCTAACTGTCATCTGTGGAGATGGCCACGCCAGATGCCCTGGAGAACCAGGACACAGAGATATTAGCAGATATTAGTCTTCTAATCAGAGAAAAATAATAATAACACTATTCTTTTAGAGAAGAACAGTATACAATGCTATCATTTTTTTAAAGATTTATTATTATACAAGAATTGGGGTACAGGCCAGAGATGAATGGGAGAGTGAGAGAATTCACCAGAGAAACACAACAGGGGAACACAATAGGCAGACGGACCAAAGTACACTGCTGAGGGGAGCAGCGGGTGAGACAAGAGGTCTGCCCCACCATGTGGGTTTCTCCCTAGCCAGCCAGGAATTGAACTCATGCTGCAGTGGCTGCATATTGCTTCAAAAGTTGCATCTTAACCCATGTGCCATGAGGGAGGCCCTACAATGCTATTATTTCAACTAAGTATACGTGGAAAGGGAAGAGACTGGAAAATACATAAATGTGTGAAGAAAGAATGAATTTAGAGGAACTGCTTTTACCTACCTGTGGTGGTCTAGACAGCTAAGTGTTTTCCCAGCTATTTTAAATTATCACAACTTTGGGAGATTCTAGCATCAGTACAAACGTACAATGAGTGTTCCACCCTCAGAATGCTTGGTTTATAACACAGAAATCTCTATCAGTTTCAATTTTGCTATTTCTGGGTGTCCTGTCATGTCTTGCTGGTTGGCATATAGCAAAACAGGCCAGGGTCTGGTTTTAGAGTCTTGCCATTCACAGAAAAACACAACCCCCTCCCTGTGTCAAAGCTCTCCAACTCTTCATGGAAATAACAATGAGGCCTGCAGTCCTAAAATTGCATACGTGAATAATCTCATCTCTTGCCTCTCAGGGCAAGTTATCCAAATTTCACCACTTCTAGCTTCTACCCCAGTGCTTCTGATGCAGCACATTGAGGGTGATGAGGACTAATGAAGCAGGATATTAACACAGCGCATCCAACAATAATCTGTCAACTGTCACCATCAATTGGGTGCTGAATGTTTAGTCTGCTGGGAGGATGTCAAGCCTCACAGCCCTCAAACAGCAGAAACCCCATCCCCAGGAGGCCACTTGAAAGTCCCCCACCCCACCAAGCAACCTGAGACCTGTGTCAAAAGTGCCACAAGGCCCACATGACAGGCCAGGCGGGAGATCTTACCGGCGGTTTAACAGAGAGGCTTCCTTGCCGAATGTATTCGATTGCAGCCTCGATGGAGGTCAGGCAGTATCCCAGTTCATCTTTTGCTGAGCTGCTGAATCTGAAGTTTTTGATATAACTCAAATTCGCCATCCTAACAAAAGAGGAAAGAATGCTTTATTGTGCTGTATACAATGAACACTGCTGTAGCAATGATGCTATTGGCTTGGGGACTAAAGCCATTTAGCTCCAGGGAACTGACTGCTAAGCTGGAACCACTATTTAGAGTGTGTGCAATTAGGAAAATAAGTCAAACTACTTGCTACTTTCCTGGAAGAGGTTAGTTCTTGGAAAGCTGACCATTGTAAAGTGAGCTGTGGGCTCCTGTGGGGAGGGGATGGGCTTGGGACTAGACAGAGCTGATTCCAGCTTCCTGCTCAGCCACTGACAAGCTGCATGTTCCAGAATGAGCACCGTAAACTCTCTGGGCCTCAGTTTCCCCATCTGTATATGAAATAATAACCACTTACAGAATGAAGGGAGAGTGGGCACAGCACCCGGCTCATGAGAAGTATTCAGTTTCCTGGAGTTCCACTAAAACCACCACCGTACAGTGCTGCCAATTTAAAGCAGTATTTTAATGATGACAAAAAATATTACCAATTAGGGATCTCTGTTTTCACAAGCAAATACAACAGGACTGATAGCAGATCATCAGCACACATGGTCTCCAAGTTAACTGCAAGGGGAAATACATGTTCAAAGCTGTCCTGAGGTTCCAGGGGACCCAAAAAGCCTGTCAGCTCCCCACCAACACCCAACCCACAAAACCACAAGCCAATAAGATTGCACAACAGGGAGATATTCAAGTGTACAATTTCCTTTACAGTGCGCAGAATACAGGTCAGGTTCAAGGGAAAACAAAGGCCTGGCATTCCTGGAGCTTGTGCTAAGGAAGGAAACGCCAAACAGGTCACCCTTTGCCCCCTTTCTGGGTGGGTAAAGAGTCCAGGGAGGCTGGGGATAGTGAACACGAAGGAAGGGGTGCCCAGGGCCCCCAGCAAGCCTTTTTCCTCCTGAGATCATGTTCATTTGAGACACTGCAGAGGCTAATGGTGACGTGTCACTTGACTTTTTATTTTTCACTTTGCAACTTTAAGGAATCCATTTATACATTTAAAAATTCAAGAAGCGCAAAAGACCTAACCATGACAGCCCCTTCATCCCTGCCACCCAGTCTTCTTTCCCAGGGGTCCCTGCTGTTGCATCTCACACATCTTTCCAGAGACAAACTCACCATCACATATCCCGACAAACAGCCCACCCCTCTTTCTATTGTGCTGTGGGGCACACCAGGTGCACTCCAGCTGATTCCACTCCTTGTGCTTTGACAGTCCCTGCAGTCAGCACACACAGATCTGTCTCCCCGTTGCTTATTTTGTTTTGTTTTCTCTTTCATTATGGAAAATTTTTTGAATATGTAAATTAGAGAGAACAGGCTAATGAAGAGAGTAAGCCCCATGGAGCCATCAGCAGCTTGGCTCATGTTTGAGGCCAAAGCTTCTCGCTCATCATTTTCTTAATCACGCCTAACATAACTAGGCTCCTCAGCAGGACAGACTGTGGGGTGCTCACACTGGAAGGCTCTGTGTGCACTGGCCCCTCTGATGACTTCTTAAGATAGTGCTGCTCCATGACAGGTCTTGCATCTGGATACCTCGCCCCACCCCGCTCCCCCCTCCCCCACGAGCCCCCTTCCCCAGCACAAACCTCTCTGGCTGGGAGACTGTGTGATGAGCTGCACGACCTTCCACACGCAAACCAGCTTCTGCTGGGGAGACGTGCACTTATTCAGCTGAGCCAGTTCTCTCTTGGCACGAGGTATGTTGAAGCTGCAAAATAATTTGGAAGGTGCCAACAGTGTGAGGGCACTTCTTCCTGGATCTGATAACACACCTCAGATGCACATTGCTTACAACCACAAGAAAGGAGAAACAAAAACAGAAACCCAAAAGTAATCTAACTCAAATGTGTGGCAAAGCAGCACCTTCAGAGGTCCCGTTCAGGCTGCACGTGTTAAAACTGCACCAGAAAATCAGAGGAAAAAAGATTTAAATCCTTATCCCGAGCTAAATAGAGAGGAAAAGATTAAATGCAAACACTTTAGACATCTTTGCATGCTAATGAAACTTGAATTAAGGATTAAAAAAAAAAAGGTGGGCCTCCCTGGTGGTGCAGGCTGTTGAGCGCAGCACTGTGAAGCTGTCCACAGCCTCTGCAGCGCGGGTTCAATTCAGGCCGGCCGGGCTGAAACCCACATGGTGCGGCAGACCTCTCCTGTCTCGCCCACTGCTCCCCTCAGCAGTGTATTTCGTCAGTCTTCCTGTTCTGTTCCCCACTCTGTCTCTGGTGAATCCTCTCACCCTCCCATGCATCTGGTTCTTGTATAAATAAATAAATAAAAATCTTTTTTTTTAAAAAAAGGGGATTAAAAAAAGGTGCTTCTGCGGCTGAGTCCCACAGACCAGAACGTGGAGTCTATAGTCTGGACCCACCTGGGCCTGAGACCACTCTGCAGGGCCCAGCCCTTGTAGCGCCCCCTGCTGGCATGGGGGCACACAAACAGCTACAAGACAGCTGTCTGCCAACTTCCGGTCACAGGTAAACTGCACGACTCCTCAGGCCCAAGCACTGAAATTCATGCCCCAGCCCCGTGAGGACACCAAGCTGCTGCAACAGCCCACACCCTTACCTGAACTCAGGTTTCACGCCAATATCTTTCTGCTGAAGATCTTGAAGGCTTCTTGTGATTTTGTTAAAGGCGGCATCCTACCAACAGATTTTAATGGAGCTTCAAATTTTGTAAAAGACACTGAGTAAAGGTCTCCATGGTGAGCGACGCTGATCGGTTCCTACCTCACTCGCCTCCATGGTCCCCACATACTTAAAGACCAGATCGTAAATATCGTGATGGACGTACATCTGTGAAATCAACAGAGCCCAGTTCAGCTGAGGAGCCAGGGGACAGGGAAGCCCGCCCGCCGCCAGTCCCTCGCGGCCTGACCTCTACAGCCTGCTTCATCAGGTTCATCTGGGCCTCCTGCTTGGCAAGCATTTTCTAGAGGACAGAAAAGCATGGTTAAAGAGCGCATGTCTGCGCCTGGGCAAGCTGCAATTCTCTTTGGCAAGTCTGGCTGCTCACCAGGTGAGAGTCCCTCAGGAGCTGCTGCAGGCATTTGGTGTAAAGGGCGTTCACCGAGTCCTGGGCAACACAGAGCAGACAGGTCATGCTTGCCAGTGGAGGATGCATCCCAGGGCGAGGGCAACATCTCACCAAATGTATGTCCTGGGGCACAAGCTTGGGGGGCGCTAATGAAAGCTTACCAAATCAATGAGGAGGCGTCTTTCCAACTTTTTTTTTAAGGTATATAGACATTAAAGGTACGGAAAAAAAATTCCTTCCCCTTGGGGTTGACATAGATAATGACACTCATTTTTACACGTTGCCACAATTTGCAAATTTTCCACCATGACTTACGCTACTTTTATAGCTAGAAAGAGATATTTAAATAAGACTTCCAACAGTGGGGGCAGCAAAATTTCAGAGTGAACAGAGCGGGATCCCGTGCTCTGAATTGGCCTGTGACAGAGAAAAACATGGCTACTGACTATGTGCTGACGGAGGCTCTTTCTTTCACATTCCCTGAACGTTCGCTGGAAAGAGGCGATGTTCCTGTCAAATCTCTCTGCATGTCTTCCCAAAAACTCTCTCACATCTTCAATGGTTTTCAGGGAAAAGGGATCTGAGGGTGTGGAAGGTTCTTCTGAAAAAGAGACAGAGGATCAGGCTGGCTGAAGCCTTCACAGTTTCCCAGTGAGGGAGTGCCACAGCCTCTGTTCTACTCCCACAGGACCTCACTTTAACATATTGCCTCAGAGCAGCCCAGTTACAGACCCCGGACCCTGGACCAGGATCCAGAGAGCCTAGTTCTCATGAAGCCTTTTCCAAGGACAAAATCAGATTATCTGGGACTATGGGCATGACCTGTGAGGCTCTCATTTAAACATTCCTGTTTTTCTCGACAGTAAAAGCATCAGGGTGTATTTGGTACATTAATCGTTATCTCAAGTTCCTGGAGCAATCAAAAGTGAGCAAAAACAATGAGACCTCAAAGCAGCAGTGAGGCTGGGATGGGACTGATGCTCTATGAGCTGGCCCTAATCCGAGGCCAGGAGACAAGCCAGGGCTGCCACTGCACAACTCCAGGGGGTGACATTCACAAGGAAGTGCCTCCCGGAATTGTGTAGTGCCCAAGATGTGCAAACCCACACAGTAGCCCCTGCCCCGCCTCTCTTTAGCCCAGGAGACTTTGTTGGACTGCAAACAGTGATGCAGCTTTCCAGTGGGTTCCTGAGCATTTTATGGGAGGTTTGGGGCAGTTATGTCAGAAGGAAGTTCAACAGATACATTTCTCTAAACCAGGAGAAAGGGGCTTTCTCCCAGAGTACCTGAACTCTCTCTCTTCTCCAGAGGGTGGGCTATGCACAGTATGCTGAAGCTTTCTTCTTTTTCATTGTAGAAAGTTTCTTCAAAGAGGATAGGCACTGAGAGCAGACAGGCGAAACCAGCTCCTAACTTAATCCTGTTTCCCTGTATAAAGACATCCTGGAACAACAGATTGGGCGCTGCATCAGCAGCTGGGGGTGACCGTGAGCCCCTTGCCTGGCCACCAATATGAAATTCACCCACCCTGCCTGCCTTCAGCCAATGTGGGTGTGGGGACACAGGCCCTCTCCTGCCTTGCTTTTTGTTTCTACCATGTTTTCTTTCCTCTTTGGTAGCCCCAGCAGTGGCCTGACCTATTTTTAATGTCACAATGGAAAATACATTAAACCGTTTCTTAAAGTAGAAGGAAACCTGTGCCCTCTGGAAAAGAAAAAGCTAGAAGGCTCTTCTGTCTAAACAACCTCAGAGATCAAAATGATTGGGTGCTGCCACACACATGGGGCTTGAGAATGCACCCTGGTCCTCTCCACAGCTGGGTGCCGGGCAGACCAGCCCTGATAAGCCTGATGCCTCATCCCCAAAGAGGATCCAGAAACTAACAAGTGTCCGGCAGTGGTGGTGAGCAGATCCCCATCAGGACAACAGCAGAGGCCCTGGAGCCACGAGGCTGCTGACCCTCTCAACACCCCCACCCCGAGTGAGTAACTGGTAACCCTGTGGCCCATCCCTCCTCTCCCTCACACAGTGCCCACAGATTTCAGCTGTCAAGTGCAAGAGGGACAGCAGCACCATAGCCCCAACACCACTGAGAAGGGCAATGTGGCCTTGCTTCCCTGCCATGGGTAGGTAGGGGGCTGGCTCTCACTAGGAAGGTCCCCCTTGGGACCCACTTGCTTCCACTTACAAGAGAAGAGCAGGCACAGCCCCAAGTTAACAATGCCCAGGGCGACACCATGCCCTGCCTGATGTGACACGGTTAAAAAGATGAGACACCCTCGAGGTATTGTGTCACCTAATCATGAGGAAATGTGGGGAAACCCACATTCAGGGAGCCTCCAGCAAAACAAAAATGGTGACCCCGTGAACGACAAAGCAAGAAACTAGAGTCTCACAGCCCAATGCACTGTGCGAGTCCACACCTGAGGGGAAAAAAACAACATTTTGGGGCTCAAGCAGGTACTAGGAGTGTAACGGGCACCCTGCACATGTGGTGGGTGCTGGGGATCAGCATTCTACCCACGTTAAACCTCTGGAGGGTCTCTGTGCTGCTGTCGGGGAGGAGACACACAGTGCTGTGTTTCTGGGGTAGAGAGACATGGTATCTGCAACCTACTCTCTGAAAAGAAGTTTATTATTTATTTAGGTACATAGGAGAAACAGAAAACAAATGTGCAGAAATTAAGCAGTTGACCAATCCGGGGCAAAGTGAGTTCTTTCAATGACAAATCAGGAACTTAGGTTTGGAACTATTTCAAAACATTTTTTAAAAAATTAAGAATTCAGGGCCTCCCTGGTTACGCAGGGGTTAAAGACAGCGCTATCAAACTATGGCCAGCCACCGCAGCACAGGTTCAATTCCTGGCTGGCCAGGGAGCAACCCAGATGGCGCAGCAGACCTCTCCTGTCTTGCCTGCTGCTCCCCTCAGCAGCATATTTTGATAGCTCTGCCTGTTCTGCTCCCCATTCTCTCTGGTGAATACTCTCACCCCCTGCACCTCTGGCTTGAACACCAGTTCTTGTATGCATAAATAAATAAATTGTTAAAAAATAATAAAAATAAAAATTAAGAATTCACCCCTGATGTCCAAATTTGTGTCTAAGACACTAATTATCACTGAAGGACATGGGGATAAAAGAGCTCATCTACCAGTCGAGGTATTCCAGGGACTCCCCAACTCACCAGCAGAAGCCCCGGCTGAGTGAATAATGCACCCCCTCACACCGAGCTGCAGCCTGGACCCTGCTCACACAGCCACTCCTCAGAGGCAGACCCCCACCCCCCCACTCCATGAGCTGCTGTGTGCATGTCCAACCATCTTGGAACACTGATGTGAGAGGCCCTCCCCACCATACACACAAGTGAGCGACCCTGGCTGACCCACAGGAGACAGATACCTTTCCATTCAGGGTCTGAAAATGTTCTTCCACTGGTATCAAAATATAGGACTCAAACTGGCAAGTAGACTGCACATTGCTGGACAGGCTTCCTCTGCAGGGCACTAAGACCTGGGGAGAAATAAAAGGGTGAGCCTGGAGACTCCGGCAAAACCAGATGGATCCAAAAATGCACTGCTTGGAAGTGCGGAGACCCACATGGAGAAGGCAGGGAGAAGGCCGCCGTCCTTGGACAGAGCTCCCACCCCAGGCTGACTGAGGATGGGGGGGCCCTCTTGGAGCACTGCACACAGGCAGCTCATGGCCACTACCATGGGCTCCCCCCCCAGAACTAATGCCCCCCTCTACCCACAGCAGGCTCAGGATGAAGAAAGGATAGTGTGTTAAGTACAGGATGGTGAAACTGAGAAGCCCACGTAACCCCACAGCCCGAATGATCAACACTGCACTGAGGCACGTTTCCTTCCCATCTCTTTCCTATGCTTTTTTTTCTTCTAAGCCTAACTGTGGTCATAGTTTGGAAAGATGCAATGAAAATAACAGATGGCTGCCGCCACCACCAGAGATTTCTTAGGGTGCCAGACTCTCTCCAAGGCAGGCTCAATCTGAAACATGAGTTTTGGTCCAACTGTGGCCACCACAAATATCAGGCCTCTGCTTTTGAGCTCAAAGCAGCGTGGGCAGGACTCAGCACCCACACCACCTCTGTCCTGGCACAGGGACCCAGGTCTAGAAGGAGCCCCTCAAGTGCACCTGCCAAGGAGATGAACAGGGTGGAGTCCCTTGGAGCCCTGTGTGCTCAAGTGAATGCTTGGGCTCCCCTCCTGGGCTCAGCTTCCCAGGGACTGCAGTGGGCGCACTGTTCACAGAGCGCCGCCAGACGCACCTGACACACGCTACCCGTTGACACAGACCCTCAATGGGCACAGCTCACATTCTGAGAAAAGGTGGCCCTTTTCCTGCATCTCTCTGAGCAGTGAAAGCAGCATAAGCCCCAGGGCTCAGCCAGTGGTCCTCAGAGCTAAGCAAAGTATCCAGACAGAGCTCACTCCATCAGACAACCACCCTTTGGAGAGCTGACTCCAGCCAGAGGCAGAAACATAAAGCACCTCTCGGGCCCCTCCAAAGAGAAGAATGTCCCAAAGGGTAAACTAAAAGCCACTCAGCTACAGGGAACACCGTAGAACACAGCAGAGTGAAGGTTCACATGAACCAACACGAAGCTTGAGAAAAACGAACAGAATCAGCTCGTTTAGCGCTCGGGCCCTGACCAAACACCGTGGCCACCAGAGGAGTGCCTGATGGAGCGGAAGGCTGCCGCCCCCATTCCACAGTTACTGGAAGGCCCTGTGGCCTCTATGGGGACAGCACCCACATTTCAGCAGTGGCGGGCTGGAGGTAAGGTGGACAGTGAGGAGCTTGTCCTCCGAACACTAAAGTGGATGGGTGTGCAGTGGCTACCCGCACTCCCACAAACAGGTGCGAACAACTGTAGACAGTCTGTGTTGTTCCTGCAGTCTCTAATAGCAAGAAGAGGTGACGACTTAGCAATGTCCTCTTCCACAGACTTGTGGAAGTCTGAGCAATGGCTGCCATTTCCAGAGCATTCTTACATGTGGGATGCGTGCCGAGTGGTTCATATGCTGTCACCTCTGTAAATCCCCACTGTGCAGGCCCAGAAACAGAGACTCAAGGGAGTCAACAACTCATCCAGCTGGGAGGGGCAGAGCCACCCTCCTGACAGCTGGCCTGTCTAGCCACCTTCTGGAACCAGGGAGGGAAGCCTCCTTTGCAGAGACACTCAAGACTCTCTTTGGAGCCCTGGGGAGCACTTGTCATCAGGAGCTTTCTCAGGTGGCTGGGAAGAGCAGCTCACCTCTCTCCACACAGAGGGAAACACAAACTCCTCAAGCAGGAGAGTCAGTCAAAAATATCCTAAGCCTGAACTCCCAACTGGGTCTGTGGCTCGGTGTGGCTGCCCAGCGCCAGGAGAGATCAAGTCCCTGAGGTTTCTACTGCTCCACCTCACACCATTGCTAAGTCAAAAAAACTGTACATCAGGGGCCTCCCTGGTGGCACAAGGGGTTAAGATGCAGCAATATGAAACTACCCGCAGCCAGGAAGGTGACCCACATGGTGACTACCCGGCCAGGAAGGTGACCCACATGGTGCAGCAGACCTCTCCTGTCTCACCCGCTGCTCCCCTCAGCAGTATATTTCAGTCAGTCTGCCTGTTCTGTTCTCCACTCTGTCTCTGGTGAATCCTCTCACTCCCCACACCTCTGGCCTGTACCACAGTTCTTGTATGCATAAATAAACAAATCTTAAAAAAAAAAAAAAAACTGTACATCAGAGCACTGTAAACTGGGGATCTTCTGTATACTGTTTGGGTTTCCTTTGGATCCTGATTTGAGCAAACCAAGTATAAAACCAACCAACCACAAGATGATCTGGTAAATCTGGCAGATATTAGATATTTAACAATACCAAAGAATTAGTTATTGAGGAGTTATTTAGCTGTAATGACAGCACTGTACTGTGGATTTTGTAAAAAAGAGGCCTTGTCATTTAAAAATACATTCCTAAATATTTATAGATGGAATCACATGAATGCCTTATATAATTTTCTGGGATTGGCTTCAAAATAATCCTGTGGCTGAGGATGGATGGCACAAGAGGCAGAAGTGAGGAATGGCCAAGGATCACGCTGAGGCTGAGTGATGGATCTGAGGGGCTCATAATTCTTTTCTTTCTACTTATACATGTTTGAAATTAAGCATAATAATATTAACTTTTAATAAAGGTAAAACTAAAGAACAGGGAGGCCCTCAGGTACGAGCCTGGGGGGTTCCCGGCAGCAGAGAGCACAGAAGGAATGATCTGGAGACTGAGGGTTGGCTGCGGGCAAGGGGAGGCCGTGAAGCCCCTCTAAGGGGCTGCCCACAGTCAGAGGGACTGAGAAATGGTCCCGTGCCAGCTGCAGGGATGAAAGAGTCACCAGCCCCACTCAAGGATGAACCTCTGAGGACCAGAACTTGTGAGGTGCACAGACAACTGCACTCCAACCACCTTACAATCTATTTACCCACCTCCACTGGCACAAGCCCAATCGGCTCCTCTGCGTGTCCCCATCACGGGCACACAGTCAACACAAAATAGGTGCCCAACAATGTTTGTTACTCAAATAGGGAGGCCCAGTTTCAGGGGCCCTGTCAGTTTTCAGGCAGATAGCACTGCCTGGAGCATTTCATTACAAGCAGAATCCAGCAGTTGGCTCTCTGGCTCCAGCCATCTCCTCTGAGTGGAGATGGAGTGAGGAAGTCAGCCAGACAGGGGGACGAAGCAACCCTGAACCCTGAAACTGCCTGCAGGAAGCGGGGGCCAGTGCCGGGGGTGGGGGAGCAGGGGGTCTTTCCCAGGGAGATTCAGATGTCTTCTGAAGCAAACATTAGGAAGTTGTAACACACAGTGTAGAGTCACAGCACAGTCCATAAGTTGCGACCTATTCATTTCAAAGTTGAACAAAACTTTTTATTTCACTACCTTATTTAAAGAAATTACCATAATTAAAGAAAAACCAGTAAGAAAGCAAGAATTGTTATTAATGATACCGAGTCTAAAGCAACCCTCTGCAAATCCCCCCAGGCTGGGTGTGCAACCCACGGAACCAGTGACAACTTCTGTCCTGATACTCATTCCTCTGTCCTGCAAATGGCCTATTTCTAGAATCCCCTGAAAGCTTGCTGTGCTCCCCACTTATCTGTGGGACCCTGTAAATCCAGCGCAGTGCCTGGCACATAGTAGCTGCTCTACAAATGTTTGTGGGCTGAGTCTACACTAAACACCCTGGAACATAGGCCTCAAAGCCCTTAGTGATTTGACCAGTGATTTTTTTTGAAAGTTAGTTCTTTGGAACTTAAGAGACATGTTTCCAGACTAGCCTTCAAAAGCCTCTGTACCCTATAATTAAAGGACCACAATAAAAGGATCAAATTTAATCTCCTTTTGTAATTGTTGTTTTTCCTATAGACAAAGGGACCAACCAATCCACCTGGGGATCATGGGGGCCTCCCCCAGATGCCCCATGGACACAGCAGGCATGCAGCAGGCCCTTTGAAGCCACAGCTGCATAATCATCCAGGTGATGATAAGCACAGGGGTAACCATGACAAACAGTGTGTGGGTGTCCCAAGGACCAGGGGACACTGGAGGCATCTGCTTGGCCACAGAGGAATCCCCATCAGAGGAAGACTTGGGAAGGACACCAAAGTCAAGGAGTGGCTGGGGGCAGAGGGGTGGGGGGTAGGGACAGTCAAACTGTACCCCCAGCTGCCACCTGCCATCATGTGAGGACAGGCAGTCCATGTGCATGGCTTGTAGGGACAAGTGTAGGGGCAGAAAAAACCTTGGGGAACATTTTAAAGTGGTGATCTCACCCCTTTCAAAGCCCACTAAAAGGCTCTATTGCCCAGGGCAGATTCAAAAACAGCCAAACTAGGCCCAAGGATCAAGCCCTATGAAAAGAAATGTAGCATTTATTTGCTGAGGACACATGGATCTCTTAGAAAGTATGAGCACTCTTCCAGAAGTAATTGGAATTGTTTTCCTTCAACCAACAGGTATGCACGGAGCACTGCTCAGGAATGAGCCAGCGCCCATCACCCAGCGAAGAGAGGGCAGGAGCTGGTCATCAACATGAACCAGGCTGAGCAGCCCAGCTATCGCTGCTTCCTGCTGTTGACTTCTGCTGAGAAATGGCCTCGCTGACTCGTGCCTCCACTGAACCAAGCCCAGCAAGGCCAGAAATTCAGTGCTGCCAAACGTGGGCCTTGAACAGCTCCTCATGGTCCCATGGATGTCGGCAGGGGCTAGAGTTAGGGGCCCAGGGACTTGGGTCCACTGCGGACTTGGATCAACACAGTTTGAGAAGAATCTCCCCTTCCTTGGTATAGCCAAAACTAGTGCGCAAGACAGAAAAGTTCTTATTCAGGGCTTCACTGGTAGCACAAGGGGTTAAGTCTCAGCACTATGAAGCTATCACGCCAGCCACAGCAGCACAAGTTCAATCCCAGGGAGCTGACCCACAGGGCACAGCAGACCTCTCCTGTCTGGCCCACTGCTCCCCTCAGCAGTGTATTTTAATCGCTCCACCTGTTCTGCTCCCCACTCTGTCTCTGGTGAATACTCTCACCCTCTACACCCACTGGACCTCTGGCCTACACCCCAATTCTTGTAAGCATAAATACATAAATCTTATTTTTTAAAAAGTTCTTATTCAAAACTCTCCTTTCATTAAAGCGAGTTTATTACTGAAAAAACATCTACTGGGTGACAGAAACTATGCTCTGTGCCGGCAACAGGGTGGTGGCTGAGACAGAGATCGCCAGAGCTCACTGAGAAATAACAGCTCTCCAGTGTGTGGTATTTTTTTTAAAGCAGAAGGGAGTTACTTATGACAATATGTTCTTATCCAGACAGTATTTTTATTTTTTTATTTTTTTTAAATGCCAAATAGTTTTTTTTGTTTTTTTTTTTTAAGATTTATTTATTTTTACAAGCACTGGGTACAGTTAGAAGCATAGGAGGGTAAGAGAATTCACCAGGGCCAGAGAGGGGAGCAGAACAGGCAGATGGACTGAAAACACTGCTAAGGGGAGCAGTGGGTGTGACAGGAGAGGTCTGCACGCCATGTGGGACCCTCGCCCGGCGGCCGGGGATTGAACTGGCGCTGCAGAGGCTTCAGGCAGCTTTGCAGCCGAGCGCTCAACCGCTGCGTCACCAGGGGAGGCCCCAGGCAGTATTTTTAAATAGAAGGAAGATGGGCAAGAAATATTTCCTGTATCAGGCACAGCCCTCCCGACTAACAAGATTGCTTCTGTGTCCTAGATTATGTCTCTGTAACGCTGACCAGTTATAATCAGCGTATATTTGCCCAAAATGTTGTCACCTTTCCTACTAGCATTTAAGCTCCATGAGGGCTAAGATAATGATGCATGTTCTTTTTTTTTTTTTTTTTTGTGGGACCCTCGCCAGCGGCCAGGGAATGAACCGGCGCTGCAGAGGCTGCGGGCAGCCTCGCAGCCCAGCGCTCAACCGCTGCACCACCAGGGGAGGCCCTGCATGTTCATATTTTTTGCAGCATCCCCAGGATCAAAGACTACTTAGAGCATCATTTCACAACAAGTATGGAAGAAGAGTTGACAATGAATGTCTTTGGTAAGCTTTACGAGATGAGATTTTTATTATCTTGATAACACCTATATTTCCTAATTTTTTTTTATAATGAATTTTACGGTGTCTAAAATCCAAAGCACAAAAATCCCAGGGCACATACAGGAGTCACAACACCAATCATAAGACTTTAAGAAATCAGGCTTCTGGTGGTAGAGGGGTGTACTAAGGAAGGTGAAAGGCAGCCGGGAAGCTCAAGTTGACGTGAGCTGAAATGAGTCCTCCTTTCGTGCAACTCATCAACCACCTGACAGAACATGGGACAAGTCACGCCACTGGCACGAAGAGCAGGGATATGGGAAAGAGGCAACACACAGCAAGAAGTTCTCAAGCAGAGACCACAGAGAGAGGGCACTGGTGTCCAAGCAAGATGCCTGCTGATCTCACCAGCACCTAAAAGTGAGGGAATCTCCCTCAGGCAGCAGATGCTGTGGCCTCGCTGCCCCTGCAGGCTTTAAAATGCCTTTGACAGGTATGTATGAATGTGTCTATATGTTCCCTAATCCTAGGGAAGTGAGCATCATCCCACAGATGAGAACTCACTGTGGGCTGAACATCACTCACTGTGGGCTGAACATCATTTCTGCCCCTGAGAAGCCCTCAAGGTCAAATGGGAAACAAGCAAAACAGAGGTGAACATATACAGTGAGACCAGTGTCACCTGAAACTGAGAGTTCAGAGACAGGATTACAGTCCTGTCTGCTGCAGTCCCAGGAGGCTGCAGTCCCAGGACTGCAGTCCCAGGAGGCTTAAGCAGCTCATGACAGTCCCACTCTGCTCATTTGACAAGTTGAGCATGGTCTGGGGTCTATAACACTGAGTAGATCTGCAACTGACTGCCTCTAAACAACCAAACTCTCACATATTTCTGGCCTTGTAGGCAGTGCCAGATTCATACCTAATGGAGAAGGACCACCTTGCACTTACAATGCCATGGATTTGAGCCACCTTGCTGCATAAGTCCGGACGCCACTTCTGAAGAGCCAGATAGAAAGGGTTTTTCAGGAGATCTTCATCATACAAAGCCATATGGACTTCAGATGGGGCAAAAGGAGTCTCCTGGGATGAAAGGAAAAGGCAGTAAATGATCACTTTCAGATTTATATCCCACATAAAAGTCTTGATCTGGCAATTTCTAAAAAGCACCCCTGACATGTATGATTCTATTCTGCAGACTGTTTTTTTAGACTACAGACTTCACACTCCATCAGGAAATATCAAAGATAACCCACCAATTCCAGGATGACTCTTTTTATTGATTAAATGAATAAATTATGTGCTGAAAATCCTGTTAAATGCTAAGTCATTGTAAAAGTAGAAATGGCTATTTTTAGAACATCTTACATGACCAAAATTACGACATTTTAAAAAATATGCATACATTTTAATGAAATATTTAGGCATACAGAAAAGCATGGAGTAATAACGCAAACCTACCACCCAGAATTACCAAATTTTAACAGTTGGCCATATTTGCCATAGATTTTTCTTTGAATAAAATACATCAGAATAGATTGGGATCCACCAACTGTGCCTTTATGATCCTATTCTCTATCCCAAGCACTATCCTAAAGTTTTTCTTCCTGCCCAAATTTCTGTAACCAATCTAAAGTACTGTTTTGTGGGCTTCAAACTACATAAATGACATACAGTGAGTATTCTGAAACACACTTCTCAATCAACATTATATCTTCAAATGCACCCATGCTAATCCACTCAGCTCTCATTCATTTACTAATTCCTACTGCGTAGTATTCTTTTAATTGAACATGCCACAGTTTATTTAATATCCTGTATTAAGTTGCTACCACATTTTCAGATTTACAAACACTGTGGCAAATGAACACTCTTATACCCTTAGGTGTTTCCTGAGCAAGGAAGTAGCAACGTCCTTACTGGAGGAGCAGCAGGGTGCATCTCCTGCACCCCCAGCGGATGTGGACAATTCTTTCTACCCCCATGACAAGTACATGAGCTACTCTTCCTCACATCCTAGTCAGCACTTCTTGGTCTCATCAGATTATCTCATTTTTCTCAATCTGCCAATATAAAATAGTTTGCCTCTTTCAAATTTCATTTCTCTACTAAAATTTAAATAATTTCCTTATTTTCTATAAATTAGGTCTTCTGCCATTTTTCTGAGCTATTGGCCTTTTCCTTATAATTCATACTTTTTATATGGACAGATACTAAAAGATGTCGCAAACATCTTCCAATCTATGACTAATCTTTGCACTTTTTCAAATGAGTGTTTTCAAAAATAGAAGTGTATGGTTTTAACATAGTTGTTCTTGTCAATCTTTGCTCCAATGGTCAGTGTTTTTTGGCTCGTAGAAAATCTGCCTATCATCTGGTATGCCTCTTTGATTTCCTCTATCAAGGGATGATGTCTAATTCCCTACCCCTTGATTCTGAGTCAGTCCTGCATTTTGCTTTAGGCGAGCAACAGACACAATTTACACCCTGGGCCTCCCCGGTGGTGCACCGGGTTGAATGCCCACTGAGAAGCTGTCCACAGTGCAGGTTCGATTACTGGCCAGCCAGGGAGAAATTAACATGGTGCAGCAGACCTCTCCTGCGTTGCCTGCTGCTCCCCTCAGCAGTGTTTTTGGTCCGTCTGCCTGTTCTGCTCCCCACTCTGTCTCTGGTGAATTCTCTCACCCTCCTGAGCCTCTGGCCTGTACCCCAGTTTTGTATAAATAAATAAAAATCTTTAAAAAAAAAAAAAGAATTTACACCCTGATTTCTGAGTGCCAGTCTCAAGAGGCTCTGCAGATTCCACTCCCACTCTTTTGGTACCCTGACACCACCGTGAAGGAGCCTGAGTGATGAAAGACTGGAAAAAGAGGCCCAGAGGGCCGGGTAAGCACAGTCAACTGTCAGCTGAAGTTCAGCTAAGACCAGGATAAGAACTATCCAGCCTACCCACAGAACACTGACAAATAATAAACTGTGTTTTGTTTTGTTTTTTTTTAATTTTTTTTTAAAGATTTATTTATTTATACAAGCACTGGGTACAGTCAGAAGCGCGGGAGGGTGAGAGAGTTCACCAGAGCCAGAGCGGGGAGCAGAGCAGGCAGAAGGACCAAAGTACACTGCTGAGGGGAGCAGAGGGCGGCAGGAGAGGTCTGTGCGCCATGTGGGACCCTCCTCCGGTGGCCAGGGAGCAGCCAGGGATCGAACCGGCGCTGCAGAGGCTGCGGGCAGCTTCGCAACCCAGCACTCAACCACTGCGCCACCGGGGAGGCCCTGTGTTGTTTTTTTTTTTAAGTATCTTTTTCTTTTTTTTTCTTTTTTTTTAAAGATTGATTGATTGATTGATTTGCTAAATTTTGGGCTGGTTTGTTATGATTTATGTAGCAAAGGCTAATTGAAACACATTCTTTTCCACTCCAAAACCATAAAAATATTCCATAATTTCTACATATCTCAAAGTTTTTCATTTTTTACTTCTTCATCTAATGTTTACATATACTATAAATCAGGCAACTAATTTTATTTTTTTCTGTTTGGTGAGTTGTCTAATCTGTTTGGGCTCTGTAACAAAATACCAGACTAGATAGTATAAACAACAAACATTAACATCTCACAGTTCTGGAGGTTGAGAAGATAAAGATCAAGGTGTAGGCAGATCTGGTTCTTGATGAGGGCCTGCTTCCTAATTTACAGATAACCATTTTCTTGCTACATCCTGATGGCATAGAGAGTTCTCCTTTTTCTTCCCCTTTTTTATAATGGCATTAATTTAATCAGGAGGGCCTCACACTCAGGATGAATCTAATCTAAATTAGCTCCCAAAAATCTCACCTCCATATACCATTAGGTTCAGGATTAGGCTTCACTGAACGTTGTGTGTATGGGGTGGGAAAGTGAGGGGGAGGAGGAGAGGACACAAACATTCAGTCCATAGCATAAGCCAAATCATTTTTTTTAAGTCTATCCTTTTCACACCTAGCTAATACTGCTACCTTTGTCATATTCCAAGTCCCTGCATGTTTGGGCTATTTCTGGCATCTACTGTTTCAGTGGCCTCAATAAGAGCTATCCAACATACATCTGTAAGAAATGTAATTACATATATTATGTAGCTTTTACTTATCTATTAGTAACATTAAAAATTAAACAAGTGACATTTTTAGTAACTTTGTGTTTATTTTAACAGTATCCCAAATATTTTAACATGAGTATTTTAAAGTTACTAATAACATAGTTTGCATTTTTAATATGTAGACTACTATTTTATATGACTACAGTTTGAAAATAAGCATTGATATTCTGTAGAGTAAGTACTCCCCTATCTTGTTCTTAGAAATTGTCTGGTTATTCCTAATTCTTTACAATATTAGATGCATTAGAATCAACAACTCCACAAAAAATTCTGTTGAGAGTGTTTATGGAATGGAGAGTCAATGTCTTTATAGCAAACATTATCCATGAACATGGTATGCCCCTCTATGTACATCTTCTATATCTTCCAATTAAATTTTCTCCACAAAGATCATGAACCATATACTTTTATTACAGTATTTGTATTTTCTGCATAGATTTTACTACTGCTGTGAAGGGGCCTCCATTGCCCCAGTGGGCTTCTCTTACCACTCACAGAGTGATCTATCAGAGAGAAATACAAAAACTAGGTACAGAAAAGATTTCAGAGTTCTAGTCATGTCATTCCACCTCTCTGAGTCTCTATCACAGTCTGTGCAATGGGAACTATTAATACCTGTTTGCACAACTTCCTTTTACATGCCACCCTCATTATTTTTACCATAGTGCATTCCAGTGTGCCACCAGCAACTGCAAGCCTACATGGTGCCTTTGTGAGAATTAGAAAAAGCATCCCATTTCCCCAGTGGATGCAGCACTGTGCTAGTGCACATGGAATGATAAGCTCATAGGTTATATATGGGTCCATACACTCTCCACCCCTGCACAGTGAATAATCTGCACAATTGTACGTGTCAGTTCTATTCCTAGTGTTTTCCCTTTAAACGCCTACTCCCTTTTAAAATGTATTTTTTAAAAGCCATTATTACTTTAGATGGAAAAATGGTACCGCTTCCCATAAAGTGAAGATAATCATAATTTTTTAATTATAAAAACTATTGGCATTATTTAAAATCTTGCTAGATACTACTGCTTGCCAAAGGTTCTAACCTTGAGCTTAAAGCCTCTTCTTTTCATTGAAAAGAGAAAATCAGCAGCTGTTAAAGAGCATCAAGTGAATATATTCTTGATACAGAGGAGTGAGAAATGAATGAAAAACTGAATTACTTTATATCTAATAATATTCCATGATAACAACAGCCATTTGAGAGCAAATGTAGATCAGACACTGTGATAATGTCTATGCATCCCTATCCCATTTTAACGCTCATAATACCTATAGGTAACTAACTATAACTAATGCTCACAATAACTACAGTAATCATTAACCCTCATGTCACTGATAAAGAAACTGAGGCTCAGTTAGGTGACTCAGTTAGGTGATATCAAAGTTTATTCTAAAATCCATCCCTGTAACCACTACACCCATCATGTAAAATAAATATGCCTGGCTTGGAGGATATTTCATGAGCCACAGACAGACAGGAGTCATACTTCATTTTCCTCAAAGGTCCCCATGACAAAAAGCCGCACAACTCCCACAATGAATTCCCTCAGTCTGGTCTTGCCAGAGCTGTCTTGGCTACTACCCTTCCTGGGGACTACCTGAAGGAGGTCCCTGAGCTCCCTGCCAATCCTCTTAGGGAGAAGAGGCCAGCATAAAAATGGCTAAGTAGAACTCTTTCCTTGGCTCCAGAGACAAATCTGCAACAATTCAGGTATTGAATTGTTGAATTTGGTTATTGCTGGAGCCCAGATAATCCTTTTGTGTGTCCCTACCAGAAAAACTAGATAATGAAATTTTGCTGTGACAGAGTGACAAGAAAACAAAATTCTTCCTGGTTCCTGACACAGTTGGTTCTATGTGGCTGGGCACAAAAGTAAAGATGCTTTGGGGAAAAAAAAAAAAAACACAAGAGAACAGACTGTGATATGTTCAGACAGGCTGGGAAGGGATACTCTGTCCCTCAGACAAGATGCTGGCAGAGTGACAGCACCTCCACCCCAAATGGAGGTGACAAGAGCAAGCTTCAATGGAGGAGCTAAGAACCTGGCAGAGAGGCAAGGAATATGCACCAGAAAAGCAAAACACAACTCTAGAAAAGCACTGGGAGGGGTAAGGTTCAGACAGAGAAGGGAAAAGCAGAAGTGGGAGGAATGAGGGAGTAAAGGAGGCATCCCTGGAAGGGCAAAGGTTCAGGAGGCAGAAACAGGCACTGAGAACCCAAAGTATATTTTTTTGGTACTAAATGAGAAGATGAGCCCAGAAAAGAAATAAGCATCAGCAAAGAGTGAATAGGAGAGGGGAAACACAGTAAGGGAAGGATCTGAACACATCAAACATTCAAGCAGTCCAATGCATGAAACTATGTAAATACAAAAGACCCTTGGCAAGCAATGCTGGCGAACAGGACAGAACTTGCTGTGATTTATTTTCACATTATCTGCTTTTCCTTGGACATCAGTCCTCCTGGTTGCTAATGACTGAATCCTCTGTTCAGCACCATTCCCAACCTTTCTGTCCAGTGTAATATGCAGTTATGTAATAAACACATACAATCTGGTCCCTAATGCCAGAGTCGAATTCTTATATAGGGGTGAATGGTTAAAAATAACTTAATGCCCAGACAAGCTGAATTCCAAAAACCAGTTTTATATTTTAAAGTAACGTGCAAAGTAAACTGACTAGAAACATGATAAATTCTCTTTTAAATTCCTTTTTAAAAAAATCCCTCCCTCTCCCCCCTGCACCCTCCCTTCACCGCAGCTCAAATGATGGGATGATTTGTAGAAAATCCAGTGAAACCCTGAACATGACTTAGCTGAGATTACTATAGTAACAGCAGAGTCAGGCAAGGCCTCAAACCAGTACGGGGCATTTCAGGAGGTGGTGGTTTTGTGGTCCTCAACTATTCTACCAGCCCAGATGAGTCTGGGTGGCCAGGCACCATCTGGTGACAGCGTGCAGCCTGGCTCAGCAGGGAAGTCAGCGCCTCCCAGAAATGCACTCCCTGCCAAAATCTCCCTGCTGTGGCTGCTCCATCTCTTTCAAGACCCTGACCAAACCCTGACCAGGTCCACTTTCCAACTCATGAGTAATACTCCAGCTGGTTTAATTTGTGATACAGAAGTCAAAAAAAGAAAACTTTAGGGCCTCCCCGGTGGCGCAGCGGTTGAGCGCTGGGTTGCAGGGCTGCCCGCAGCCTCTGCAGTGCTGGTTCGATCCCCGGCTGCTCCCCGGCCACCAGAGGAGGGTCCCACATGGCGCACAGTCCTCTCCTGCCGCCCGCTGCTCCCCTCAGCAGTGTACTTCGGTCCTTCTGCCCTTCTGCCTGCTCTACTCCCCGCTCTGGCTCTGGTGAACTCTCTCACCCTCCCGCGCTTCTGACTGTACCCAGTGCTTCTATAAATAAATAAATCTTTAAAAAAAATTAAAAAAAAAACTTTATATCCATCTATGTTAACTATCAAATGAAAGCAATCTGATGATGTAATGCACGTTGCACAGTCACTGGTGTCCTTCTGGCTTGTCACATCTATGGATCCTGTCCATACTTTTCTCAAAGTGTACGGTCAACACCTGGCTCGCAGCAGGCACACAGAACTGTTCATTGCTTGAACAAAATGATAATGCGGTATTCGAGGAAGCTCAAGCTCCCTGGGAGAGTTCACCTCTCATAGGAGCTGGAAACACAGCCCATATCCAAAGAAGAGTGAAGGGCCAGCCCTGGGCAGCAGCCCTGCAGAGGGTGTGCTCAGAGCTAGCCAAACACACAGACAGCTGGAAACTGGAAGGTCAGAGAGGAAGAGAGAAGAGAAGGGTGTGGAAGGGGGTGTGACCAGCAAGGGAATAGAGAAATGTAAAGGAGCCCCTCAGAACAACACTATACATCAACCTGCTCCTAGCTTTGCAGTGGGAGGAGCCACCAGCACCTTCCTCTCCTGCTGGTTTCTTGGACCAAAAGGCAGCAGCTCCAACAGTTGCTTCTCAGTGTGTCTCAGATACAGAAACAACCTCAGAAAAACCAGGTCTGGATGCTTCAGTTCTTTCTAGGCCTTGTATCATCACAGAGTCTTATTCCTCTGCTCTAGGAAGAAGTTACTGGATATCAACCTAACACTGGTGCTTCATAAACAGAGAGAGACCCAGACAAAAAGACGAGCAGCTCACAGATACATGAGTACCAAGAATCAAGCCACTGCCCTCCAGAGGGCAACACCAGTCAAGAGCCACAGAGCAGCACAACCAAGACCTTGACCCCAGACCTGAGCTGAGGCACACTACTGCTCACTCTCCCAGCAATGCAGCCAGGCAGGATTATTTCAATGACAAGTCAAGATAGGCAGAGCTCACCCAAGGTGTCAGATGAGAATATAAATCTACCCAACTTCGGAGCACCACTGCTTTCCACTTGGGCTGATCAGAAGTATCTGTTCCTGCTCTCATCCCCCCTTGCAAGGGATGCTTCAGGCTCGCCCCCACTAGATCTCAGCCTACCCTGTCTTCCAGAAAGACAACAAAGTGATGAGCACTTGAGGTCTGTGCAGTATCCTGCAATGACTTCCCTTTCGCCTTATCAGATCTCCACTTCCTGCTTGGCATTGAGGGCCTCTCACTTCCGATCTCCAAGGCTCGGGGACCCAGCTTGCAGCCTCATCTCCCTCTCTAGTCCCTAAAGCTTCCCCCAAAGAGATGGGTTTTCCCTACTCATTTTGTCCTGAAAATTACTATTCCCTGCCAAGGTCCTCATTTGGCCCGTGAGTGACTGAGACCTTAAGCCTCACAGAATGGTCAAGGCTTGAGGGCCTCCCCGGTGGCGCAGCAGGTTGAACACAATGCTGTGAAGCTGTCCGCAGCTTTTGCTGTGTGGGTTCAATCCCAGCCAGCCAGCGAGACTCCCACATGGCAGGGCAGACCTCTCCTGTCTCGCCAGCTGCTCCCCTCAGCAATGTATTTTGGTCATCTGCCTGTTCTGCTCCCTGCTCTGTCTCTGGTGAATCCTCTTCCTCTCCCGCACCTCTGGCCTGTACCCCAGCTGTTGTATAAAAATAAATAAATCTTAAAAAAAAAAAAAAAAAGAATGGCCAAGGCTTGAGCCAAGGCAGGACACCCAACACCTGCCAATCCATTCACTGAAGAACTGAACCGTTGAGTGAGTGCGCCCAGGGGCCCAACTCTGAACTCGCAAGGCTGCCTCAACACACCCCTAGTGAGGGCCGTCTCTAAATGTTAATACCCCCTGCTTTTCTCTAGGGCTGTTGGGAAGATGATTACTTAATTTAAAAAGGGGTCTCTCTCTGTGAAACCCAGAGAGTTCCTCTGTGAAATCCCAGCTCCCTTGCAAACTGGTAGTCCCTCCAGTTCCACTAGCTTCTCATTCCCTCAATGTCCTAAACCCTCAAGGAAGATGCGCCACTTGCTGCTGCTGCCGCCGCCCACCAAGGCTGCAAATACCCACCTGCCCCTCAAGTCTCCAGCACCTGGAGGAGCGGCCAGCGGGGGCATGGACTTGAGTGCCTCTGAGCAGCCCATTCTCAACGAAAAGAACTGAACAGACCCAGAGTCCAGAACATCTTAGGTGCTTAACACTTTTCCCGGAGTAATCTTTACCCAGCAGGATGAGGAGTCCCAGCGAGATTCCCCTTTCCCTCTTCTGCACCTTCATCATCCTGGGAAGCCACAATCGCCTGGCCCGACGTTCCAGACCCCCTACCCAGGCCACCCCTCCACTCGCGCGGGCAGGCGAGGCTCGGACCCCTCTCAGCCCATGAGCGTGACCCTTTCAACGCCTCCAAGTCCGAGCTCCCAGGACCCCGAACCCACCTCCCGGCCCGGAGCCGCCGGGGTCAGAGGGCGCATTCTTTACCCCACCTTTCCCAGTCCGGATACAAAGAGCAGATAGATAAACAGGGCCCGGTTACGGACGAGACCCGGGAGGGCTCCGGCCGGGCGGTCCACACAAACAGAGCCGAGGACCCCGAGGGCCGCCCCGCGCAGGCTGGGGCGCCGCGGGGCGCCGGCCGGGGCGAGGAATGAGCCCCTCCCCCCCACTCTGAGGCTCCGCCCGGCCTTAGACCCGAGGCGCAGCCGCGGGAGGGAGGGAGGCGCAGGAGAAGACCGCAGGGGCGGACACTTACTTAAAAGACTACATAGTTTCACTCCCGGCCCTTCCCGGAGCCGCGGCGACACCTCCCGGCCCCTCGGCTCGGACCTCAGTGCCCACCAGCCCTGCGCTAGGGCGCCGCTCAACTCGCCAGCCCCCGCCGTTGGGCGGAGCCTCCCTGGATCTGTCCAATGAGAGGCAGCTCATGCTAAGAGTGACGTGAGCACGGAGCAATCATTCAGCCCGCCCGGTCGGGGGGTGGGGCTCAGCGGCGCAGAGCTCTTCCTACTCCCACCCGCCCCGCCCAGAGCCACCGACTGCGCGTGCCCAGAGCGGAAGGGGGCGGGGCCAGAGGCGGCTCGGACACGAGGGGTGGGGTCCGAGCCGGGTGGCTGGAAAGTGGGGTGGACCGGGGCGGGGAGACCCCAGAGTCCGCCCTCACCACGGGCGCCCTTCGCAGTTCGCTTGGGAGGAGCGAGGTGCCCAGGCCCACGCCGCAGACAATCTCACCATCCGGCGCTCCCGGGTTTTAATACCCTCCCTTGCACAGACGCTACTGAGCCCCCCTTTGTAAGCCTGGACCCCAGTTTCCCCATCCGTGAAATGCAGACGTGTCGCTTGGACCAGCCGAGGGCTAGTAATTCAGAATTGCAAAGGGGTGCGCAGGAGGGAAAACGAGGGCCCACACGTGACCTCCCTGGTCCGAGGATGGAGGCGCCGGCGAAGATGGGCGGGGGTGGGCGGGTCCTGGACCCCGCGCCGGCCGCCCTGGCCGCGGCCGAGGCGGGGCGCGCTGTTCCGTGGCCCGCCTGCCCGGGCGCCGGCCCCGAGGAGGATGGGGTCCGCCCCTGGGGCTTCGCGGGGTGCCGTCGTGGAGGCGTGGGCCGTGCGGTGACTCGGTGTGTGCCCCGGAGCTCATCTGGGGGCGATGGACCACGGGATGGGGGGCAGCTGACGGGGCCCCCTCTCCGCTCTGTGGAGGCGCCCAGCGCGGGTGCGGACCGGGCTCCATCGACAGCAGCAGCAGCGTCTGCCTCGTATCGGCCATGAGGAGCGCGCGGGCAGCCTGGCCAGGGGACTGGCGCGCCATGCGGCGCTGAGCGCGTGAGCTGGGGAGAGGAGCCGCCGGCGGCCGGGGCGCACCGCCATGGCGAGAGAGGAGTGCAAAGCGCTGCTGGACGCTTTCAACAGGGCGACCGCGCGCTACCACCACCTGATGCTGACCGTCGGCGGCTCCGCCGACTCACGGAACCTGCGTGAGGAGTTGCAAAAGACGCGCCAAAAGGCGCAGGAGCTGGCGGTGGCCACCTGTGCCCGGCTGACGGCCGCACTGCGCGACCGGAGCCTGGACGCGGAGGAGCGCACGGAGCTCGAGCGCCTCTGGGTGAACTTCTCCGGCTGTCTGGACCTGCTAGAAGCCGAGCTGCGGCGCGCGCTGGTGCTGGGCACGGCGTTCCCATTGCACGCGCCGCGGCGGCCGCTGGTGCGCACGGGCGTGGCGGGAGGCTCAGCGGGCATCGCGGCGCGCGCCCAGAGTGCCCGCAACCTGCGGCGGGAGGCGGAGAGCCACTTCGACCTGCAAGAACTGCGCGAGCTGGAGCGGGAGATCTTTCGGGTGGGCGAAATGATACGAGACATGGAGATGAAAGTCAACGTGCCCCGCTGGACGGTGCAGGCCCGGCAGTCTGCGGGCGCTGAGCTCCTATCCAGTGCCAGCGCCTCCTCGATGTCCATAGAAGAGCGCACGGGACCCTGTGACCTGAACAAGGCCGTGGCCGCCGCGGTTTTCAGTGCAGTGCTGCTAGTGGCTGTGGGCCTGGCTGTGTGCGTGGCAAAACTGAGCTGACCGCCACCACTCCCTCCCGAGTTACCTACCCCTCTGAGAATGAACCCAACTGCCAGGATTGCGATGGGAATGGATCTGGCATTTTTAAGGGGAATGGACCTAAAACCGTGTGTGTGTGTGTGTGTGTGTGTGTGTGTGTGTGTGTGTACACGCACACCCGTGTTTCAAACACAAATATGCCCGGGCAGAACATAATTTCCTCGTGTTCACCCAAAAAGAGTTAATTTTTCACGGGCTGCCAGAGCATTACGCTAATGCATGCAGGAGCTTTATCCCCTATTAATAGAAAATGGTCCACAGTGACCCCAGATTCCTCAGAGTTAATGGGTTATCCCGTGTGCTGGTGCTTACACTAAGTCCTAGCTTGGTGCCCCCACCCCTGTTAGCTACTTCCACCCTTCCACACCGGGCAGTTTGAAAGGGGGATGAAATGAAATGTGTGTTACCGTTTGGAGGTTGTTTTGCAATGTGTGGGTGGTGGTTTGTTTCCTGGACAAGAAACACATGCAAGCAGTTTTTATTATCTTAATTCTTGGGGCCTAAACTTAGAGTGTGCAAATAGAAGTTCTTGCAGAGTGCTTTCTCTGTGCTGAACGATTGTGCTTCTGGGCAGTTTATCCATTAGTCACAAAAGCAACTAGAAGATGTTTGGCGTGACCTCAGCCTTGGGTCTGACTTGACTTAGGAAACCAGAGAAGACTCCTTGCATAGGCCTTGATGCGTTTGGATCCACTACATGTATTGCCTATCTGGAAGGTCTTTCTAAGGCTGCAGGCTTTGGCCAGGTCCTCAAGTTATTTAAATAGGCACTTTCTCCTTCCTGGGGCTTGTTTCTGTTCAGAACTAGACCAGAGTTTTTGATCCTCCTTTGGGGGAGGGCTGTGGAATCCTCTTTGGAGTCCTTAATCCTATCTATCCCTTAGAATTTGCATGCTGGTCAGTAGAAGAGCTGGCTTTGGAGGGAGCTGCACAGCCTCCGACCCCCAACACTGCCCCTTAAGAGGGTAAAGTGACAACACTGTTAACACAGAGATATTGAACCAGTTAGGCCTTGAACTGGTGATAATGTAACAGCTTTGACTTGGAATTTGAGAAACTTTTTATTTTTAAGTAAAAAAATAAATTTATTTATTTATTTTACATTGTAAAAGGGCAGGTTTATTAAGGAAAGGAAAGAGAAAAAGAGATGCCTACATAGACACAGGTGGGCAAGAGAGCTGCCTGTGAAACTTTTTAAAAATAAAAATCATTGTAAAGAAAAATCACATAACCAGATTTTGATAAAGGACATTTCTCATGCCAATGGGTTCAACGCCATCAAACCGTCCTCTTTACTTAAAGAGGTTACTGAATACACAAAGTTACTGAATACACAAAGTTACTGAATACACACCTGCATCTAGTTTTACAACAGACCTTAAGGGCAGGAGGTCACAGCATAAACCTCTGGAATCACAGGTCTAGATGACAGATGTTAAACGGCATCTGCTTTTTTGGTCAATAAATAAGAAAATGTGGAAAACCCCCTGGGGCCCAGCACTTCCACCTCCCACCCATGATCCAGAGACAGCATTGGTGGGAAAATGCAGCTGAGAAAACAGATGTCTCTGCCACTAGAGGTAATTTGGATCAGAACTCAGTGACTTTGGTTTGAGTGAAAAAATGACAAGGTTTTTTTTTTTTTTTTTTTTTTTCATTTTTATCCCAGAACTGAGAAAGGGGATCAGGGGAGGGGACTAGCAGTTTTTTCACAAGTGCAGAGGGTCAGGGGGCAGCGAGAGGACCTCAGGGCACTCAGTCCTTCCCAGTCCTCCCCTCTCTTCTACTCCTCGGTGCACATAATCCATTATCTCAGATGGCAAAACATGAGATTTGATTTTTTTTTTTTGCCTTTTTTTTTTTTGCATGGTTTTAAAAGACCCAAAATGTCTTACGCAATTAACAGTTTCATAGCAAGGTGCCTCCCTGGTGATGCGAGAGGTTAAGACACAATCTATGAAGCTACCCGCAGCCACTGCAACACGAGTTCAATCCCCGGCCAGGGAACTACCCACATGGCGCAGCAGACCTCTCCTGTCTCGCCCGCTGCTCCCCTCAATGTATTCAGTCAGTCTGCCTGTTCTGTTCCCCACTCTGTCTCTGATGGATCCTCTAACCCCCCACACCTCTGGCCTGTACCACAGCTCTTGTATACATAAATAAATCTTAAAAAAAATAAGTTTTATAGCAATAACTAATAAACTTCTGTCTCATCCAGCCTAGGTCAATCTCAATAGGGGTCTTATCAAATTCTTTTGCACCTAAATGCTCATGGCCCCTTAAGAGATGACAAAGGAAGTTTTCTAATTACCTTCTCCTGCATACAACACAAGATAGAATCTGTCATCTTCCCCAGAGTTACATCCTTCCCAGGCAAGGGGAGGCTAGGACATTGTGTGATGCAGAGGTGGGAGATATCCCTAAGAATCAAACCCTAAATATATTCTTCTGTTTCTAACACTGTGATTCTATCACAGTGTGTTTTGGTTCATGAAAAAAAAAAATGTTTTGTAGAAACTTTTAAAGAAACAAGCATCAGACATTTTGTATTGCATTGAAGCCATCCAACAAATTTCTTTGTTGTTATTCTTGACACCCACTTGGTAGATTTGGGGGTATTTACTTAATATGTACAGTCAGATGTGTGCCCAATTCTGAGGCTCTTTTTTTTTTTAAAGATTTATTTATTTATGATTACAAGAACTGGGGTACAGGCCAGAGGTGTGGGAAGTAAGAGGATTCACCAGAGACAGAGCAGGGAACAGAACAGGCATAGACTGAAGTACACTGCTGAGGGGAGCAGTGGGTGAGTCAGAAGAGGTCTGCTGTGCCGGGGGGTGGGGGGGTAGCTCCCTGGTCAGGGATTGAACTCACACTGCAGAGGCTGTGGACAGCCCCACAGCACTGAGCTCAACCCCTTGTGCCACCTGGGAGGCCCTGATTCTGAGGTTCTACTCACTGAAGTTACAGTAGTGATGAAATGTTGCAAAAAATGAGCTTGATCACAACAAATGTATGGAATCTTTGACCTGTTCACCTAAGCAAGTCTTTGAGTTTGAAAATTTTAAGCTCTAGGAATATTTGTCATTATTTAGAGTTACACTTTGCCTAGTAGAATGTTTGCTATACATAAGATGCAAGCAAAGTCATTTTCTGCTCAGTATCTCTCTCTCTACTTTTCTCTGTATCATTTAAGCTAAGCCTACTTTCTGATAAGCCTACTTCAATTTAGATGTTTAATATCAAACTCATCTATTGTATAAAAACACTAGGTATGATCTTATACCATGATACAAAGTGACAGAAATACAAAAATGAGAAATGTTTAGTGGAGAGGCTAACATGACAAGGTCAGTGTTAAGTCTATGGTAGAGGGTGGCTATTTCCCGAAATTATAGGTACAAGTTAAAGGATGGATTTTTACTTCCAATTTAAATGTGATTGCTCTTAGAGATCTCTTGGGACCTTAAATACCTGTAAAAAGAAAACATCCCTGGCTTCTCTTAAGGGAAAATAGCACTGCTTTACCTGACAGTGAGCAAACCAGAACTTGGATGTCAAGGCATTTACCCTGGGAACTTTGTTTTTTACATGAATGAGTTCTGAACCGGTGATATTAATAAAAAATAAAACAAAACCCATACTGTTGGTAAGAATATAATGCCTGGCAAACACTTTTTTATGTGCTTTAGGAAGTTAGGCTTTTAAATACTGCCAGGGAAGAAGAAATTTTGGTAAATAAAATGAGAGCATATTTGGTAAATAAAATGAGAGTAACTTACAAGAGGTGTGTGATACCCAGTGACTGAAAAATAGTTTTGGCTGAACAGAGTTCTGCTTTGCATGAAGACCCTGATAAATGCTGCATTTTCCTTTTCCATGTATGCATCGGTAGTTTTTTTAGCTACTCAGTTTTAAGCTATTTCAGAAATAGTTCTCTGTTCTATAGTGAATGCTGTTTAAGAATGTGAATTCCAAAGTGTAAGCCTGGACTTCAGCCAGAGAGATAAAGTGCTGTGGGGCTCACCTCTGCATTCCTTAGGGGGTTGCCTCCATGCCTCCTCCCACGGACCCAACCAATTGTGATGGGCAGGGGCGCCAGGGCAATCCCCAAGTACCTCAGACAGTCACTGATCTCCCTTTGACTCCCTTCCCTCCTTTGTGAAATGGGAGGGTGTAGTGCCAGGATGGCTCAGAGAAGGTTATGTATGATCCCAGACCGGGTAAAGGAGAGTCCCGGAGCCCTCCATGGCTTTCTCAGGCTTTTATTGAGCTTTTACATGTAGTGCAGCAACCAGGTACACAGGCGACAAAGGTTGGGGGTGGGGGCCAGGAGGCTTCCAAGCCCCTGGCAAGTCTTCACTCTGGGCTTCTCTGGTTCTTTCTTCCCTTCTCTCTCCTGTTTTCTTCTCCTGCCTCTTACTTCTCTTTGGGAATGTCTAGATACTGCTCCCATGCCCACAGAAGTAAATAACATAACTTACAACAATGAAACAACTGCAGGTGTCCCATCAGGCAGGGCAATCCTAATGGGAGGGCAGAAAAGCCTGAAAAAGCTTTACCCTACAGAGGGCCCTGATTGATTGACTCAAAAGTTCCGTTCAGAGCTTAAGCATTTAACAAAATGCAGTTAAACAAGATAGGGTTGTTTTGTTTGTTTGGGTTGGGGGTGGGGTTGTTACTGTTGACTTGGAGCATATTGGAATGGAATCTTAGTTTGTACTTACTGTCCAAAATCAGTCTGTTGGTAAAATTCTGTATTAACTTTAAAATCAGAATTAACTGTCCTTACTGTAACTTTAGTCCATATCAGTATTGGTGGATGGATTTAAAAGCAAATTTATTAATAATTAAATCAGATTAGGAATTTGAATTCAGGCTGTAAGTCTGAGTGTGAGAGGCCCTAGCATTTTGTTTTAAGATTTATTTATTTATGCATACAAGAGCTGGGTACAGGCCAGAGATGCCGGGGTGAGAGGATTCACCAGAGACAGAGTGGGGGACAGAACACGCAGATTGACTGAAATGCACTGCTGAGGGGAGCAGCAGGTGAGCCAGGAGAGGTCTGCTGCACCATGTGGGTTGCTCCCTGGCTGGCGGAACTCATGCTGCAGAGGCTGTGGATTGCTCTATAGTGCAGTGATTAACCCCTTGCACCACCAGGGGGGGCCCACCCTAGCATTTATTAAAGAGTTTATTTTACTCAACAGTCAGGCCACTTAAAATGATTTGATTTGTTATTTAAGCTGGAAGAATCCTATTCTGGTGTCCTCAGAACTGCAACTTCATTACCTGCCTGAGGTGAACTTGAGAGCAGCAGGGGTATTTTGTAGTGGTATCAGCTGTATCATGGAATTAAAGGCTTCATGTCTGCCCTTTGAATGATGCTACTAACTAAAATCTATTACTAAGTAAAATTTTTTTGAATGTCATACAACATAATTTAGTGGGACAAGACATCTTAAAATGATCCAGCTATCAATTATTGTGATTTTTAAAATATCAATTTTTTTAAAAGATTTATTTTATTTATACAAGAGCTGGGGTACAGGCCAGATGCGCAGGAGGGTGAGAGGATTCACCAGAGACAGAGCAGGGAACAGAACAGGCAGACTGATGAAATACACTGCTGAGGGAAGCAGCAGGAGAGACAGGAGAGGTCTGCTCACCATGTGGGTTGCTCCGAGGCCGGCGGGGATCGAACTGGCACTGCAGAGGCTGCGGACAGCTTCAAAGTGCTGTGCTCAACTGCCCGCGCCACCAGAAGGCCCCAAAATATTAATTTTTATACACATTTAAATTGAACTGAACGAATGTCTCTGATCAACATATTTACCCTTCACAGATTTCATTACATAAAGAGAAGTTCAGAAATACTTCAGAATTATAAATCTCCAAGTGATTTTCTATGATAAGCACAAAAGATGATTATACTCACCTTTTAATGCAGGATGGAATCTGGGAAGAATAATAGGTCTCCACATAAACAATCTTTGACTTTGGACAACACAAAGTCAAAGATTGTTCAAATATTGTCTCTGGCCCTTAGGAGCTGACCAAAGGTCATATGTGTCCAGGAGGACAAGATGGGTTCCTAAAAGTGAGCCTTTCATTTACTTTTTCTCATCTCATTCCACAGAGGATTCTGGGTATTCTCATTGTTATATCCTGAGATCTTAGTCACCCTTGTTCTTTGGGGTTTGAATTCAGAATTTTGTAATGTTAAGGCTTATATGACAAATGTAAATAAGCCAAATGAGAGTTCTTGTTAGAAAAAGTACATTGAAGAGTCCTTTTCATATGTTGTTTCCAGAAAGCAAAGTTGAGTGTCTCCTGCTTAAATGTATTAGGTACACAGAACTACAAGAAGATACACAGAAGTGAAAATATGTGTTAAGGTGATGGGATTATGAATGGTATTTTTCAGTATTTTTATTTAGTGTTCTTACCTTGTTTTTACAATAAAATGCTCTTACATGTAGAAAACATTGTTATTAAAACACAAATTTAATTTTTTTTTCTCTTTTATTTTCTTTTACTTTCTGTTGAACTCATTCCCAGGCTGCTTCAGTTTCTTCTGGGATCTTTTTCTTCTGTGCAACCTCCTCTTCTGATATAGGGATAATCTGCCTTTTTTTTTTTTTTTTAACCACAACTTCTACCATATCTTGGGGGCTTTGTTCACCTGGATGTACTCAATGACCATAAACCCTTGAGTTCCGCATTACTCTTTGCATTTGCAAGCATGTGCAGTAAAAATTCAGCACTACTTTTAAGGGCCACCGACCTTGCATCCAGCCCCACTGTTTGGCCTGGGCCCACCTGCCAACTCCACCACCTATGAAGGAATGGCACACACAGCGTCCGCAGAGTGACATCTTTCATATACTTAGTGGCTTTTCAGATATGCACACCGAGATCACCTGGACAGTTTCATGAGTATTCTTAAAATGAACATGAAGAGTTGAACTTCTCAATTTCCATGACTTTGTAGGGTTTTCTGGGTCAAGAATGTAATAAACCATTTTCAGTAATCACCTATGGTCGCCAAATTTAAAATTTCAGAACCTTCCCCAAAAGAGCAAAGCATTGTTGGCAGTCCTACTGCAGGGACTGAGAAGCAGATTTTGTACTGTGTGTTGAACCATAGTAGCACTGAGTTTAAGACACTGGGCAAGAAATAAGGTACATCTGAGTTCAAGCCAGATCTCACTCAAAAGTCCCTTATTCTCACTGACCTAAATTTCTTTATCTTTATAATGATGGTAATAATAGTTATCAAGTTCCTGAAATCCACACAAATTGTGAGATATAAATGTCTATTGTTTTATTTTATTTATTTTTTTTATTTTTTAAAGGGATGGGACATTCTTTTTTTTTTTAAAGATTTATTTTTTATTAATTTATACAAGCATTGGGTACAGTCAGAAGCACGGGAGGGTGAGAGAATTCACCAGAGCCAGAGCGGGGAGCAGAACAGGCAGAAGGACCGAAGGACACTGCTGAGGGGAGCAGCGGGCGGCAGGAGAGGTCTGCGCGCCATGTGGGACCCTCCTCTGGTGGCCGGGGAGCAGCCAGGGATCAAACCGGCGCTGCAGAGGCCACGGGCAGCCCCTCAACCCAGCGCTCAACCGCTGCACCACCGGGGAGGCCCTAAATGTCTATTGTTTTAATTACCAAGTTTTATAGGAATTTATTAGAGTGAGAGGTAAGACTTTTTCTGCTATAGGGCTCAGTACATGTTGGATGCCACTGTTTTTATTTATCAAACTATAAATCCTAAGAATTGGATAGTGGGGGGGGGGACAGTATATATGAAAAATTTAACTTTCTGTAACAAAACTGCTAAAAATCAGTCTGATGGCCAAACTAGATACACATGTCAAAATGAGAGGTATATAATAAAAAGGTAAAGGTTACAGATGGAAATTCCAATTCATCTGGAAGTTGGAATCTATACATTTTTAAAGTCAAATTTATTGAGGTATTTCAACACAGTAACATTCATGTTCCTGTGGTGTGCAGCTCTGAGTTTTAATAAAGATATACAATCATTTAATAAATATGTGCAATCATACAAATTATATGTCATACAATCATACCAATATATGCAATCCACCAAGACACAGAGTATTCCATCATCCCAAGTCCTTTGATACTCAATCCTTTCCACCATCCCTGGGCTGGCAATTACTGATCTAATTTGTCCATATAGTATTGCCTTTTCCAGAATGCCACATCAACAGAATCAATTTTTGAGAAAACATTTTGAGCCTTTTTTTTTTAAAGATTTCTTTATTTTTATACAAGAACCGGGGCACAAGCCAGAGGCACAGGAGAGTGAAAGATTCACCAGAGACAGAGCAGGGAGCAGAGCAGGCAGATGGACAGAAACACACTGCTAGGGGGAGCAGAGAGCCAGGCAGGAGGGGTCTGCTGCACCATGTGGGAATCTCCCCAGCTGGCCGGGAATCGAACCTGTACTGCAGAGTGCTGCACCTTCCCCTGCAGTGACCTTTAGGGCTAATGGCTCTCGCCACGGTCCCTAGGTCCTGCTGGGCAAGGAAGCAGCGCGCAGGGGGAGAACAGCAAAACCCCCTGAAGACATACCTGCTGCACCTCCCCCTGCAGTGACCTTTAGGGCTAAGCCACGGTCCCTAGGTCCGGCTGGGCAAGGAACCAGCGCGCAGTGGGAGAACAGCAAACCCCCCGAAGACATAGATAAGACGGAAGCCTGTTGAAAGATAACGACCCCAAGGAGCCACTACAGGAATGCTGACCGCAGGGAACCTTCTCAAGGCCCACAAACTTTATTCTAATACAACTGTCTCTCTAAAATCTTTTCTCTTTCTCTGTCTAAAAAGGTCATTGGTTTGCTGATTAAAAAAGAAC